TTCTTCCAAGGGGCACGGGCGGATAGAGGATACCACCACCTACCTGCGGATACTCCACACCACAGAGTACCTTACTTCCCGACGAGTGAGAGTCTACTCAGTTACATGCCCCTGTTGCTTCCTTCATTCCAAGAGATACCCGGCAACAACCCAGGCTGCTTGCTGGACGTCCGAACCAGCGGCCAAACCCAAACGCAAAGCCAGCCCAACCAGGAGGAGCCTTGGCCTGCAACCTTGAACCCGTTATCCACAATCGACAGTCGACAGCCCACTGCGGCGGCAGAGACAAGCAACCTCAAGCAGAGAAGCGGAGCACCTCACAGGCTCACACAGTCAGGACTCCCAGGAGGCACGCCGCACGAGTACTCCGTACAGAGTGCCGCCCAAATCTACGAAACATCGCGTGTTCCATACCTTAAGCCATTGCCCGGGGGCTCGCATCCGAGGACAGCCACAGAAACACTCGCCTCTTATTAAAACTGTAATCCCTCTACCCTTTTCCCTGCCCCGTCCCGGACGGAAGAAAAGAAGAGATAGACCGAGGAAGTGTTTGTTTGCGTGTGTGTGAGAGAGAAATGGCGACGCAAAATCGGTAAGCATCTTCCTCTCTCTCTCTCGCTTTCTCTCGCTCTACCACTCTACTTCTGCTTCTGCTTCTGCTTCTGTTTCTGCAACTGCTTCTCCTTGCCTTGCTTGGTCTTGCTTGGTTCCTCCGGCTTCCTTCTCCGTCATTGTCGTCCATCATCGCCATCCTATCGATACGTCCGTCTCCCTCGTCCTTCTTGATCCTCGTGGTCCAGCCCTGCATTGTATGTACTACCTGTTACTTGCTTCCTTGGTCCAGCCTACCTTTTCCTGCCTAATGCGTCTTGTCTGCACCGCACACGCATATTCCCCATCCGTCCCATCCCAACTCACTCATCCCCCCCTCCTCCACCCTCCACTACTGCAGTCTGCACCCGCAATTTAGGCCTCTGCAAGGCAAATTCGCAGCAAGCGGCGGCTGCAGCAAGCGGTAGAAGGAAGCAGAAGCTGCACGAGCAGTACCAGCAAGTTGCCCTGCAGCAACAAGACCTTCTTCCTCGCCTGATTAGCAGCTTAAGCATCCAAGCACGAGCACAAGCAATCCAAGTGTGTTGTTCCCTTGCGTGTACGGATAAACGTACGGTGTGTGTGTGTGTGAGGTACTCTGTACGTGCATGTGCATCAATCAGCCAACACACACACTCACTGCGCAGCGCTCTCCTCTGTCCCCAGCGCTGCGACTCGACTCCTTCAGCGAGGCTAGAAGTGGGGTTCATTTCGTCTCGATCTGTCATGGCGCACCTCACCGATTGTCAACCACCAACAGCCTCCTAATTGCGCTGTCCTTCCCATTCCACATCTTATTCTCCTCTTCTATCCCGTCCACTGCCTTGTTTCCCGGCAAAAATTCCCCCTTTTCCCCGATCAGCATCATCTTCATTCAACCGACGACGCTCCTTCTGCTGCTCTTCGTCGCTGTTTGATTGTCGCCACAACCACCACCTCGACTCTCTCATTTCATTCCCACTTCTTCGTCGCATGCAGACCTCGCCGCCCGCCGCCGTCGCCCACGCTGCGCAGCAATCATGGCTAATGAACGCAGTGTGTACTCGTCCGGCCAGTTCATGAACCCAGGCCCGGCGCCACGACCACCCACCGACCGACCTCGTCTCGCCCTCACCCCAAGCAATACCCTGCCCGGCAGTATGGCCAACATGGCTATTTCTCCTATCCGGAGCACGGCGACTTCGACCTACACCGGCTCCACAATCTCCCTCCCCATCGCCCGCCAACAGAGCAATCAGAACGATGGCATGGGAGGTGTCGCTGTCAAGAAGGAGGGTTGGGCTTCCGTGAAGGAGTCCAAGAACTTTATCAACCCTTGGAAGCAGAAATACCTCATCCTGCGAAAAGAGTCGCTCGACTTCCACAAGACTGAGGGTGGCAAGGTCGCGTATACCCTCTTCCTAAAAGACGTCGTCAACGTCGGCCGAGTCGAGGCCGCTGGCACCATTTTCGAGATTAAGAGGAACCCTAGCGGCTCGTCAAACAGCCCCGGCGAGGACGACGGCCAGACCAAAACGTTGCAAATTCGTGTCAAGAGCGACGACGACTTGTACGAATGGATTGATCTTATTTACGGCGCCTGCCCTGGAATGGGCGGTGTCAGCAACCCCACCAACTTCTCCCATGCAGTCCACGTTGGTTTCGACCCCCAGACTGGCGAGTTTGTCGGCTTGCCACCCGAATGGTCGAAGCTCCTCAACTCATCCGCCATCACAAAAGAGGATTACGAGCGCAACCCCCAGGCTGTCTTTGAGGTCCTCGACTTTTACTCCGACCTGACCAAGCGCGCCGAGAATCCCCAGCAATACTCCAGCCTCACTCCCACACCTCCCGCCAGCAGCCAGCAGAACAAGCAGCTTGGCTATGGCGGCGGCGGTGCAGGAGTCGCGCCGCCTAGGCCTATGCCGCCTTCTCAGGCCCAGCGCCAACCCAGCTACAACACCCAGCCGTCATCGCAAGGCCAACAGCGCCGGCCTTCGCCCACAGAACAGCAGCAACAGCGCCAGCAAATGCAAGGTATGGCTCCCAACTACCAGCCGGATCCTCGCGAGGAGCAGCGCATGAAGCAGCTGGAGGCACAGCGTGCCCGGGAAAGGGAGATCGAGGAGCAGAACCGTCGGGATCTGGAAGTATTCAACGCTTCCATCCCTAAAACCAAGACGCCCATGGCCCAACAAGAGATTGGTGGCTACGGCGGCAGCTCTTCCATCCCACAAACAGACAGATACAACCCTTCGAGGGCAGCACCCCCAGCACCCAAGCCGTCACAGCCGCAGCAGGTCAATGGCATGCGTGCGCAGCGCCCGGCACCATCGCCGCCCACTACCACAGGCACGCCAAACCGTCCCCCGATGACTTCGCAACAAAACTCCAGTTCCATGCGGGATCCCAGCCAGGCCCAGCGCGTGCCCCGGCAAGATCAGCCCTCAAGCCAGCAGCAACGGTATCCCAACGGCAGCCCCCAGCAGCAGAGGCAACCCCCTCAGGCTCAGGCTCCGCCACCATCTCGCCTGCCCGCTCCTGTCAAGCCTTTGAACGTGTCCAAGGCTCAGCCTGCCGCTCCTCAAAGCGACGGCGTCAAGGCTGCCGAGGCAGCTCTCACTGCCAAGCCACCTGCGCAAGAACGCAAGCAGGACGTGCGCATGTCCACCATGTCCGAAACTGAGGTCATGGCCAAGCTCAAGGAGGCCGTATCTAAGGACGACCCTAACCTTTCCTACTCCAAGCAAAAGAAGATTGGACAGGGTGCTTCGGGTTCAGTCTACGTTGCCAAGGTCAAGGAAACCGCTGTTTCGCCTATTGCCCGTGATGTTCTGCGTGCTCAGGGTATCAAGGCTCAAGTTGCCATTAAGCAGATGGATCTTGCTCACCAGCCCAGGAAAGAGCTGATTGTGAACGAGATCATGGTCATGAAGGACAGCAGGCATCGCAACATTGTCAACTTCTTGGACGCCTTCTTGCGAAACAACAACGCTGAGCTCTGGGTCGTCATGGAGTACATGGAGGGTGGCGCTCTGACGGATGTGATTGATAACAACCCCAGCATCACCGAGGAGCAGATTTCCACAATTTGCTTGGAGGTAAGAGACTCACTGATCTATGAAATCAGCGGGTCAATACTAACAGGATCTAGACATGCCGTGGTCTTCAACATCTCCACTCCCAAAACATTATTCACCGCGATATCAAGAGTGACAACGTTCTTCTGGACGCTCGTGGCAATGTCAAGATTAGTAAGTGAATCGCCAATACCCGTCGTTGCGCAGCTACTAACCAAGTGTGTAGCCGATTTCGGTTTCTGCGCCAAGCTCACCGAGACCAAGTCGAAGCGTGCGACCATGGTCGGAACACCCTACTGGATGGCACCTGAGGTTGTCAAGCAGAAGGAGTATGGCCCCAAGGTTGATATCTGGTCTCTGGGTATCATGGCTATTGAGATGATCGAATCTGAACCGCCTTACCTGAACGAGGAGCCCCTCAAGGCTCTTTACCTGATCGCCACCAACGGCACCCCGCGCCTCAAAAAGCCCGAGAAGTTGAGCAAGGAGCTCAAGGCTTTCCTGTCGGTCTGCCTGTGCGTAGACGTCAAGAGCAGAGCCTCCGCCGACGAGCTTCTTCAGCACGACTTCCTCAAGCACGGATGCCCGCTGGGCAGCCTGTCTGAGCTTCTTGCCTTCAAGAAGCACGCCAAATAAGCTGGCAAGCACAGCACGGGCGGAGCAGTGCAGCGATCGGCGCTGAGGAGCGGAAGCCACTGGCGATTGGTGGCGTTATTTTGGAACCGGCGGGATCGTGCAACACTTCCCGACGTGCGCGACAGCAAGCAAAGAGACATTAAGTTCGACTTCTCGAACGGATTCCCTACTCCTCATCAACCATTCACACGACGTACTTATGAAAACTTCCAATTTCAATCGACACGGATATCCTTGACACCCCCTTCTGACTTACGCGGGACGAGAAAATGCTTCGTTCATCCCATCATGGCGGCGGCATGGGAATCTTTTTGCTAATGGTCTCGGTCACATTGCATAGTTGTTTAGTCACCGTAAGGGAGGAATGGTAATTTAGAGGAAAGGTACAGCCCGCGACATCTCGGTGGCTCACATTGAGGAGAGGCAACGGAAGAGATTAGGGGCCAAGGGAGACAAGCGTGTTGCCTGGGTCTCAACAGAGAGCATGGGTAGAAGGCGGGCCAGACAGCGCTGATAGATCGTCTCAATGGAATGGATCAATGAACGTTGCAGCTTTTGACGTGAAATTCGACAAAGTCGATCGCGGCTATCGAGCCCAAGGCCTCTCTGTGATCTGAGGGAGGCATGCCAGTCCGTGCCGGTGCGAGAGCCCCGGTGACCTGGGACTGATTAGTAGCTCCATCATCTTTGCTAATCTACATCACAGACGGAAGCGTCCACCTCTTTATAGCAGCAGAGAAGACCTGACTTTCGGCCCGCACGGGGCCCAGCCAATCCCCGCCCTTGTTACTTGCGAAACCGCGGGCACACCTCAACAACCTTCTCGTATTCGGAACCCCGTAGCCCTTGCATCCGAGAAAAACGAGGCCGCCGCCAACCACGTCCCTCGAACTGGTTTCCTCTTCCTTCATGCCATCATTCTCTCGCAAAATCCGCTCCCCATTGTTCCTTCCCGAGGCAAGTCTTTGCCGAATTTGCGCAGGCTTCGGTCATACTCTCGCATTTCGAAGCGTGGTTCCGCCATCGCCGCGCGCACCCGCCGATCGCCACACGGGTTGTAACGGCCCCTCTCCATTCCCTTTGCTTACCTACTCCGGGGCACGGCGGCCTACGCGCCCTAGAGAAGACTGCTGGCTGGCTGGTTGGTTGGCTGCTGTGTGTGAGAGCTGTGTGCCCGCTGGCCGAACTCAAATTGGCTGGGCTGCCGCATAACCCGGCACGGTAGGAGAAATGATGGACAGCCCGATGGAAGGGTCCGGCGGCTCGTCCTCGGCGCCGGGTTCGACGCCGACGGCTACGGCGACGACGCCTCATAGTGGTGTTGGGATGACTGCTGCCGGTGGTACCAATACCACCACCACCACCAAGTCGCCTAGCGTTGCGATGCCGTTGGGGAGTATTTCGGCGGCGAGCAGCAGCGTTGGTGGTTCGTCCACGACAAGTACGACGGTCTCGGCTTCGGGTGCTGGTGCTGGGAGGGGGAGCACGCCTGGTGGTGGTACTACTACAACTACTCCCGGTGCTGCTACGGCGAATACTGGCGCGACTGTTGTCTCGAGGCGGTCGCATCCCAAGTCGAGAACGGGGTGTAGGACGTGTAAGAATCGGAAGATTAAAGTGAGCTTTAATTTATTTCATTCGCTTTGTTGCAAGTCGTTTGTATGTTTTGCTTGTGCTGGTGTTCCATGAAGTGTGACATACACCCACACCCCTTCCCTTTCTCACACACTCTCATTCATGCCACCATCACGTCTCATTTCATTTCCCTCAATCTCATGTCCTGTTGAATTCTTTTCCATACCCTCTCACTCGGTTTCTTCCTGTTACACAAAAAAGTGAATCCCTGAGAGTTGAGACAGACTAACACCCAACCCCCACAGTGCGACGAACACAAACCCTCATGCAGGAACTGCATCAAACACGCCGTCCCCTGCGACTTTCTCCAGTCCCAGCGACACTCCTCTTCATCCGTCCCGCGCTCTCCGGGCAGCCTCTCGACCCCGGGAGGGCCCGTAAACGGTGACGGCATCGGGGGCGGGGCCGGTGGCCTCGGTCTCGGTCTGGGCAACGGCGGCGGCGGAGGCATCGATGACCTTTCCCTCAACCTCATCGACCTGGAACTCATGCACAACTTCACCACCTTTGCCTTCAACACGCTCTCGACGGATCCCGTGGTGCGGCAGATGTGGAAGGTGCCCGTCGTCCGGCTGGCGCTCGAGTGCGACTACGTCATGCGCGCACTGCTGAGCGTGTCCGCGCTGCACCTCGCGCACCACAGGCCCGAGAGGCGAGATTTCTTCATCAGTCGGGCCCTGACGTACCATCAGATGGCGAGTCGCACGGCCATGGGGTTGATGGGCGCGCTGGACGGGGAGAATTGTGAAAAGTTGTACCTGTTTTCGGTGTTGACCATCTTTTTTGGTACGTTTTGTTCCCCCTTTTACCCCTATTTCACAAAAGTCTCCAGAAATCAAGACTGACGCCTCTCCGAAAGCCCTCGCCTGCCCACGCAAATCCTCAGACTCCCTCATCATGGGCGAATCCTCCTTCCCAGACTGGCTCTTCCTCCTCCGCGGCACCCGCTCCCTCCTCAAAGAACTCGACCCACACGCCTACGCCGGTCCGCTAACACCAATGTTCAACCACGGCCGCGAGCGCTACATGCACACGCGCGACGAGTCCAAGATCCAATCCGACCTCCTCGCGGATCTCCAGCGCCTCGTCAACAAAACCTGCGCCGACGCCGCGCTCCTGCCGATCTACAACCGCGCCATTGACGAGCTGCGGCGGACGCTAAGCGTGTTCTTGTGGGATGGGGGTAGAGGCATGGATATCACGGATGCGTTTGTGTGGAAATATCTAATGGCGGAGGATTTTTTGCCGCTGTTGAAGAGTCCTGGGCACACGCAAGAGGCTGTTGCGATTTTTTCGCATTTTTGTATTTTGCTAAAGAGGTTGGAGAATGAGTGGTGGCTTCAGGGATGGGCTACGCACTTGATTTCGAGGGCGTGGGCTGTGCTGGATCAGGATCATAGGCTTTGGATTCAGTGGCCTATTGAGGAGCTTGGGTGGGTGCCGCCTTGATTGTGTGGGAGGATGGGGTGTTGGAGGGTTTTGTGTATAGTAGGAATGAGTCCTTTCGTGTTTGATATGATGGTGTACAAAGTCACGTTTGGCTGAGCGATGCAAGGTCATTTTAGTACATGAATACTGTACATGTTGTTGAAGCTATCTACTTGTGAAGGTGCTTGGGGATGTTCAGAGTCCTTGCCAAGGTGTTGCGTCTGATAGCAGCATCAGCTGGGCTCAGGGAGAGGTGACAGGATATGAACTTGGTTCTTGTTTCCGCCCAACAAGCTTTGGCGCAATGAAAAATAAGGCAGGGCAGAGGCAATCTTGGTCCAGCCAGCCCAAATAGTCTTGTCCGACGTAATGGGTCATCGTTGATTAGTATTATTATTGTGCGATGTGAGGCTGGAGAATCGAGTTTTGATGAGGCTGCTCACAATGATTGATAGTTTCAAATCTAGTCTAAACAGGGCTTGATTCGCCGTTCCTCTCGTAGCGCACTGAGTGATCGGTATTGTATACACCGCGGCTAGAGTCCAGCGTCTATAGAAAGTGACGTTCCGGTTCGATGCAACTACCGAACCCATGCTTTGAACCCCGAACCAAAGTAATGGGAATTCTGGAGGAAGGCAACGTCCGCACGAAGCAACGAAGCGCTCCCAGCTGCTCCTAGAAGATTCGAAAATGGGTGCGAGCATTGGCTTTATAGGCGCTTCTTCATGGCAGTCCTCTGCTTCCTCGTAAGCTTCAGATTCATGCAGTAAAAAGCTTTTGAGATATCTCCTTGGGGCTGTCATCGGTCTACGCAGAATGTCTGGCTGTCTTCACTCCAAACCTCTGGCTCAAAATCACCCAAGAACCCACGACGACCAACTTCCTAAATGCTCCCGGGTCGCCGTCATCACCAAAAGCAGTATCGAGGCATCGAGAAATGACCTCAAAATCGACGAAACCGAGGTGTTCAACCGCCTCTTTCGTTAGCAACCCCGAAAACGTTCGATGTATATGCCCATCAACGGGCCATTTTCACGGGGAAGAGTACGGGTGCTTCTTGCGGTTGTAAATCTCATCCGTGATAAACGGCCGCCCAGCCTCTCGCAGGACCTTCTTGTCAATGATGCGGTCTCGAACAGCAGCCATGTTCTCCCAGAAGAAGCTCTGAGGCGCTATATTCCCCTTCTCATCGTGATTGACTCCAGTAGAATTCTCGGGGTTATAACTCATCTTGACGCTCGGCGGAAGCCCGTTGACGTACTCCGCCAACTCGTGGTCCAGGAACGGGAGGCGCGCCTCAATGCTGTGAGCCATCTCCGACCTATCCCCCAGACAAGTCAAGACCATGTTCGCCAGGGAAGTCTTTAGGAAGACGTATAGCGCCGAGTGGAGGCTGTGCCAGCGCGTTCGAATTTTTTCTCGGGCGTCTGGAGGGATGGAGTTGAGTATTGCTTCATAAACGCCGAGTGCGCTCTGTTTGTCCCTCACCCAAGGGGCGAACACGTCCGACGAGGGAAAGCCTCGCCACTGAACCAGGAAGACGTCCAAGCCCTCAAGAGGGTCGAAGCCGGTGCTCTCTTCCGTTTGGGAGTGGTCAAACATGCCCATCCTTTTGTACATGCTCCGCAATTGCGCTGCCGCGGACTTGTATAACGCTTCCCGTAGCTCGTCATCCTTTGCTAGCTCCGTTGACGGTAAGGCTTCGTCGGGTTCTCGCAGAAAGTCAGAGACTAAGAAAGGGTACCCTGCAAAGTGCTCGTCTGCCCCCTCGCCCGTCAGCACTACGGGAATTCCTTGCTGACGGGGTAGCTCAGAAAGCGCATACTTTCCAACGCTGTTCATGTCGAAGTGGTGGTGCTCGGTGTGATAGACGGAGTCGGCGAAATGCTTTGCCAGTTCTTCCTCGTCCATGATCTTCTTCACTATATTTAGATCAAGCCATTCCGCAGTGCGTTCTGCAATGTCTTTCGAAAGTCGTCAACATCATTTTGGACGTAGAGGCGCTCCGGAAACTCACCATATTCGTTGTACTCTGCATCAGACGTGAAGGATATGCTAAAACAAGTGATCCTATCTCTGATGACCTGGTTCCCCAACTTCACTCCCCTTTCTCGCACGAGCTGCGTGGTTATACCTGCCACAATGGACGAGTCGAGGCCACCTGATAGGTAGATTCCGACCGGGACATCAGCTTGGAGACGGAGCCGGACGGCATCTACCAAGCGCTCCCTGACTCCGTCAACCATCTCATCCATGCTGCGTGTCTCTCTGACGGTCTGAATCTCTTGTAAGTCTCTTAATCGCCGTTCGGTTAATAAATTCGTGTGAGTTCACTTACCTTGTCAGCATACTCAGCATCCCAATACCGATGCTGCGTCACGCTGCCATCTCGACCAAACCGTGCCCAATGCCCTGGTAACACCTTCTTCACCCCCTTGAACAGAGTACCTTCGCCCAAAACCGCCGCACCGCTGCAGATGGCATCGACGTCCCACTCGGGCTTCCACTCCATGGGCAAAAACCCCTTCATCTCCGAGGCGATTAACAGGTTGGGCGGCGCCCCGCTGCTGTAGGTCCAAAAAAGAGGCTTGATGCCGAACCGGTCCCTTGCGGCAATGACGTCCCCGGATCGCTCATCGTACAAGACGAAGGCGAATTCGCCGCGCAGGTGCTCAAAGAACTCGGGGGCTCCATGGTGCTGGTACAGCGCTAGGATGACCTCGCTGTCGCTCCGCCCGGAAAAGTTGTAGTCGAATTCAGCGGTACAGCGGCCGCGGATGGCCACATGGTCGTAGATCTCGCCATTCACGATGACGTGGATTTTCTCGTCTTCACTGTGTAAGGGCTGAAGGCCCGTTGGGGAGAGGTCTATGATTGAGAGGCGGGCGTGACCCAGGCCTAAGGTCTGTGTAAGTACTTTTGGGACATGTCAAGATTTGGTGGGTTAAAAAGAAGCGTACCGACGGTAGCATCGCTGTTGATCCATGTTCCTTCTGCGTCTGGACCTCGATGTTGAAGAATGGATAGGCTTCGTGTTAGTTTGCTTTGCACATCGGCGCGTCGTCCCAATGAATCGTTTTGCGGACTGCCGGATTGGACGATGGCTGTTATCCCGCACATTCTTGAGATGAAGTTCTCTGTGATGTTTTTTATCAGATGAAGGTCTTGTTAGTTGTGTAAGCGAGCCAAGTACGATATGGGAATAGTTCATGAAAGAGAAGTGGCCTGAAAGTGAAGACGAAGCATGTTCAGAGGTTTCCAGGACTCGTCGACAATGCTCGAATGACGAGCTGAGTCTGGCAGGAAGCATTGCTCCCAGGTCTCTGAACTTTCTTTATCAGAGTGACGTTGAGTTGCGTCCTCGCCGTTGGGATTCAAAGTTTCGTTCAGAAGGATCAAAGTTTCGGCAGCTGGGTACCGGGGAAGAGTAATACGTTGCCTGAATCCCACTGTTTCTCAACCACCCAGTTGTGTTGTCTGAAACTCGCGGCTCCATGTTTCTCCAAGAATTCGATTCTCCGCGGAAGCCATGGAGAGAGAAATGAGGCGCACGGGTCGGGACAGCCTGCGTTAACCACGAAAGTTCCGTAATGTTACTTGATTAGTGACCCTCAGACGTTTTACTTACCTTATGTTGCAGATAGGAATAAGTTAAGGTGCAAAAGAGAGTCTTCCTGGGAGGAAGTTGCCAGCCAGCCGTGATTAAAAGCCAACAAAGGTATGATTCAAAACTCAAAACCCACTTCAAACTATCAAACTGTGACTGGCTTCAGTACGCCAAGAATCCGAACCATTACAGAGAAACTCGAGTCAATTGCCTGGACCAGTGTCTGCCCTAGTCTTCAGTGGAAAGCTTCTAAACTTCAGTGACAACTCTGGATCTATTTGCGAACCAACGTTTCGGGGGAAGTCGCTGGCATAGTTCCGTACACAATACGCGGAGGTTGCGTTCTCATGGCATTCCCCACGAAACGATCAATACTCCAACTCCGAGCTTCAGAATCGCGGACCGACACGAAGGCTTTTTGCTTGCTCTTCTGAGCGGCTTCCCAGAGTTCCTTCATCGAGTACTTTCTCTCGTGAAAGCGCCGCACATCGAAGAAGTTATTGACAACCTGTTGTAGCCGTACCCGCATAAACCCTCTGTATCTTTCGGGCGTCTCCGAAGGCCGTGATTCATCGATTGTGGTAGGCAACTCGTCCGCATCGTCGTAGTCGGGGTCAATAGCCCAAATCCACATGTCGTCAACGAGCCCATGCGCACCAACAACCGATTCGACGCCTGGCTTGTCTACCATCAGAAAGACGTTTTGCAGAATACCGTCTTCCAAACCATTGGTTTCTGATTGCATCGATGCGCCGGAGATGTTGCCTTTCTGTGTTTGACTCCCCAGGCATCTGTCTCGGAGAGACTTGAACCTTGTACGCAAGATGCGGAACTTGGCGAGTCTCTCTTCGTCCTCTCTTCCATCTCTCTGGTTCTCGTCGATTGCCAGTCCACTGTTATCTTCTTCCTCGTCGCCTCGACCAACAGCTTGTCTGGCGTCCATCTCCTTGCTGTCATCTGCAGCACTATCGTTGGGCCACTCAAGCTTCTGCAACCTCCACTTATTGTTGATGGCACTGCTTCCCGCCCCAACCGCGCCGCGGCCGTGGAACAGAACACCATCCCTCCGAGCCATGTACCTCTCGGCCTCGTCGTCATTGGCGAACGCCTTAGGGTCGATGAAGATGCCGTACCCCCAGACCTTCTCCCCCTTGTCCTCCTCCCACAGACGTCTCACCCACGGGTGCGCCTTGGACAAGGTATTTTCAGTCTCCTGCCTCTGTCTCGCTTTCCATGCTTCATTTTCGCGCCGCCAGTGCTCTATGATGGCATTATCGATGGCTTTCTCTTCATTGTCTGCATAGAGCATATGACGCACTGCCCTGAGACGGTTTCGGGCTTGTTCATACTCCTTTTCTGAGACTCTGTTGGGTTCCATGATCAGCCCGGCTGCCCGTGAGACTTCACGTTCCTCGCCTGGCGAGATATCCATCCAGTAGCGGTTCTTGAGTAGGGAGACCTCTGCGGCGGTCAGCTGCGAGGGTGACTCGACAGCGCGCTCAAGCATATTCTCTTTGGACAGCTCAGTCGATTTGGCAATGTTCGCTGCTTGAGTTTCGGCATCTGGAAAGTCGAGCAAACGCTTCTGATCATGGGGAGTGAGTGACGGCGAGGCATCATTCTGAGAGGGTATGATTTCCTCGGATGCTAAGAACGATTGGATGAGCTCGTCTGCGTCGTCAATCTTGCGAATGACCCGCATGAATGACCTTATGTGATTTTCCATGTTTTACGAAGGCGAAGTTGGCATTGAGGTGTGGTTTGGTAGCAGGAGCTATAAGGTAATTTTCTGGCGTTTGCGTAGTGGTCAAACCATTAGCTGTTGGTTAAGGTACACCTCATTGTGGACCAATGGCTTAGCGGGCAACTTGGGGCCAAAGGTGCTTAAATCCGTACATCACCGCACTCGTCTAACGATGCTTCATACCCATATTCTGAACAACTGCAAACCAAACCGAACATCTAGGTCTTGACATCAACTATGTGTCACGTTCTTATGTGCTTGGAAGGCAAGTACATGATTGATCAATGGTGTGATATTTGTTCATGAAAGGGATAGATACATGTTATATATTGGCTAATATTGTACAAAGAAACGTCTCAACCCGAGCCATCGTAGACCACCGCATTTAGCAGTTGGTCTGGATGCCCTGAGAGTACATGGCAAAGGAATCGGCGTTGTTCAACGCCTGGGAGGTGCTGAGGGAGTCGACGCAACCCTCGTAGCCGTAGCAGACATCGTCGGTTCCGCCAACCTCAGTCAAGTGGGTGGACTCGTGAACCAGAACGTACGGCTGGTCGGTGGCGCGGCACGAGGTGGTGGAGGCAGGAAATTGAAAGAAGTAGTCGCAGACGACAATGTAGCCGCCGCTGCCGGGCTGGGCGTAGGCGACGACACCGTCGCTGCAGAAGTTGCCGACGTCGGTGCAGTAGAGGCCGGCGCCGCTCGACGTGCTGCCGAGGAGGGTGGCGGCCTTGCCAAAGACACCGGCGACGGTGGACTTTGTGCTCGACGTGGTCGACTTGAAGTATTGCTGCAGGCGAGTTCCCGCGTTGGCGGCCGTCTGGGCGTTGGTCGCGTAGGTCTTGGCCTTGGAGAGGGCGGCGGTGACGGCCGTCTTCTTGGTGCCGGTGCAGTCGGACTGGATGGTGACGCGCTTGGCGTTCAGGGACTCGTGGAAGGCGGCGTGGACCGAAGCGGCCTGGGTGCCGTCGACGGTGGCCTGGAGGACGCCCGAGTCGAAGACGACCTGGCCGGCAATCTTGTTGCTGCCCTCCTCGGCGTAGCGGAGGGATCCAGTGCTGGAAATGTTGAAGTCGCCACCACTGCTGAGGTCGTGGACCTGGGCGGCGTCCCACTGGACCTTTACGACCTCGCCGGCCTCGATGGTCTGGAAGGCAGAGTCGGGGAGATCGGCATCGTGAACGTAGACTCGCACGCCAGTGAAGGCAACCTTGCTGACTATTGATAGTGTTAGATACTATTTACTTTTAGAATGTAATGAGTAGTAAGTCTAGACTCACCACCAGTGCCATCGACCGAGCTCGTCGAGAACTGGGCCTTCTCAACGGGCGATCCATCGAGGATCGAGCCCGCCTTGAGAACACGAAGGGGCGTGCTTCCTGTGTTGGTGATGCTAGCCTTCAGCTCGCTGTTGCCGACTTGCTCGATTTTCACATCGAGGGGCTCCGCACGTCTACCCAGGTTGACGGCAGCGCCGTTAGCGAGGGCTGCGAGGCAAGAAACGACAGTGGCGGCCTTCATGATGGCTAAGTAAGGTGGTGAGAATTTAAAGAGAGTATAGGACGAAGCCGTTGGAAGATGCTGAATTCTTCTCAAGAGGAACAACAGTTAGCAGCGAGAGAGGAAGGCTTTATGGCTCCTCCATAACTCCTGAGAGGGAAGCCCCCTGATCTGAAGGTAACCCTTCTTGGGACCTCAAACGAACAGTAGATTGCATCACGGAGAAGAAACTTCAAGGATACGGGTGTAAGGCCGGGGGAACGTTCCACCACGGAGAATTGTCCCAGTGGTTCGGGATGCGGGTGCGAAGTTGGAAGGATGGAAATTATCCGATCATGTCCAAAATAGAGACGAACAGGAAAGCTGATGCACGAGGCTTCCACCAACCGAAGCGCGCAGCCGCGGATAGAGGTGGGTGTGTCCAGCGGAGTCATCTCGTAACGGATCTACACAGACTACTATAACTGAAGCCATCCCCAGCTGCTTCGTTGTACGAATGGGGAGCCATGGTTATGATGGTTAAGAAGCGGCTCCCACTCCTTTAGTGAGCTTAATATGAGCCTTAAGAGGTCGTTATGGAGTAGGAGGTGCTGGGTTCGGAGTTTAAAGTAAATAGAGTAGTGGGCCAGGTCGACTCTGATTAGCTGTTTATTTTCACTACCGACAGCCGTACACCAAAACGTGGACTTGGCAAGGTCTTGGCTGCGTGCCGTTTTGATTTAAACAACAGTGGCGCTGCTTTGATTCAGACTCGCTCGGGGCAACTTTTAATCTCGGCAGCGACAACCTCATACGCGCGTGTACGTAACAAACGTTTGCCCCGCATTCATGCTCGGTCTAGCCCCAATATCCTACAAACGTCCGTTCCCTTCATGATTCTCATCGGTTCTGCGACCTGCCTAAAGGAGCATCAAAGCCGTTGACGATCCAATCAGGCATCCTCCATTTGCCTCCTCTTCCTTGCGTAGTGGACTCGTCTGGAGCCTTTGTCAGGAGACTGTCGTGGCACAACATCGTCATCGTTCTCATTCCCTCTCAAGTCTCGATTCTCTTGGCCCCCTGAACTCATCATCACCTTTCCAGCAACCCAACATACTGACATTGCCTCCATCACCATCAACCCATTGAATTTTGAAGCTCTCGTATCTGAAGAAACTTCACTCAAGTCTACATCACCTCTTCACACTCTACAACCATCCCTAGCGAAAAACGAGTCATCATACATGAACCCTCATCACCGTAGCCGAGGGCCTCTTTCATTCCCGGCTGCCCTAGCAATCGGCGCCGTCATCGTACTCACATTCTACTTTTACTCACCACTGCAATCCTTCACAATGACCTCTGACTCCTCCTCATCCTTCCTCAACAACCTCGAGGTGAGCCTGTCTCAGTCCGGCACATCGCCCCCAAAGGTCTCAGTGTCCGTCAAAAACACACACCCGGACACGGCCGTGACGCTCCTGAAATGGAACTCCCCGCTTGACCCCGCCGTTCTCGGTCTAGGCCAGGTGTCCATCCAGCCGGCCGGGGCCTCCGAGCCGATCGAGACCCATGCCATCATGATCAACCGCAAGATGCCGCCCGGCGCCGAGTCGCTCGTTACATTGCGACCCGGTGAGAGCGCGGATCAGGTTGTTGAGCTTCGCGAGCCAAGAGTGCCGGGAGATGTGTGGGAGGCAGGCAAGGCCAAGGTAGCGATGAAGGGAAGGTGGATGGCTGTCTGGCCTGGTCTGACTACGGAGGAAGTGTTGCAGAGCCCCGAAAAGTTGACATCTGTCGGTGCAGGCGCAGGATCTTTGATAGGGGAGTGGGAAACGGAGACTATTGAGGTTGGAAACTGAGCAATTGGTTTGTTAGCTCATATGTCGTCTCAAAGTTTCGATTATACGGCTCTTGCCGGATGCTCTTCAACAGCATTTTGAGAGACTGCGCTCATATCAAACGAGGTTACGAACTAGGAATTTCAGAGAATGAAGCAACTTGATTCATAGCAACTACGAGCCTGAATCGTTGCGCACTCTAATATTCTTGACATTCACCAGGGTAGAAATGAAAAGTACTCAAGACATAACATGATGAGTGAGCTTCGAGAGACGTATCACTTCGTCACGACTCTTTCGGACCGGTATTTCCATCCCCACCCGGTTCGTTCTTATTGACCTGCCGGTCTGATAAGCGTTTTGTCACTTCTGCAACCTTTTCCTTGAGCGGCCGACGTATACTCGTGGTGTCTGTCAGCCAATTACGCTTCAAGTCTTGCTTCTTCGGCTTCGCTGATGTAACAAAAATTTTGTATTGGCCTTGAGTAAGTCAGTAGTGAGAACAGTAAGGTGGGGGAGGGGGGGGGGCTCGCGCAACTTACCCCAGGCAAGCCGGCCCACATCGACTGCGTTGTAAAGGAAAAGCTGGATGAGGCGAGCAACGAGAAGTATAGGCAAAACCATGAATCCTACAATGACATGAATGTAGGTGGTCCAGTGGTTGGGCTCTGGGTCTCCCAAGATTCCACATGCGGTTGAGACCTTTTCAGAGGGCAGATCAATGAATAGATATCCTATCCAGAACTGAACATGCCCCGAAAAGCCGGCCTTGTGGATGATGGGTTGGCTTGAAGTAGGAACGCCAGGCCTTTTGTCTTTTTCAGACACCCGGCCGACTTTGGCCTCCTCATGTTCCTGTTGTGTGGGTGGCGCCTGCACCTCGTTTCCATATATCTCGTTTCTCAAGTTAAAAAGATTGCTGTTCATCTTCGCCTGTGAGTAGTTATTGATCGCCATCGACACTTTCTTCGCATTGGCCAGTGCCACGATTGTGAGGAAGAGCGCAATTACGGAGCAGACAATCATGGGCTTGAGGACATTGCCTGGTGGTGTTTCGCTCATGCTGAAGATGCTGGCTGCAAAGCCGAGTGGTAGGAATATCACAGTCACGTACGTGAAGAGCCGGACGTTCTCTGCGTCGATCAGCGAGAGGTTGTCACGGCTCTGCTGCTGATTGCTGATCAGCTGCTCCTTCAGTGACCGAATGCTGTTACGGTAGTTGTGTAAATCTCGCGTGCGACGGCCCGTCGAACCTTGCATCTTTCCAATGAGGCCGCGGTATTTGCGCTCGTCGTTGCGTGTCCATCGCGGCCGCTCCTGGCCCCTATCTTTCTCACGCGCCTCCCATTTGAGGACCGTCGACAGCACGTCTGCGAGCTCTTCCTCCACGACCTGGAGTATTTGTTGACAGTTCTGCCACTGGGCGCTAGATGAAAAGTACTCAACGCTGCTTAGAGTCGAGAAGGAGATGGTTCCCCGGTTCTCTCCCAGCTCGTGTACGACCATATCGAAGATGTCTTTGGTGCTCTGGACAATCTCTTTCAGGATTCTGTCAAAAAGTTGTAACTCTAGCACTTTTCTTTGCTGCCAACCTTGTTCGCCCCACGGACCAGGCCTCCACCCATTCGAGGTGTGTTCAACCATGTAACATGTCCAGTATCGGTCGAAAAAGTCTCCTGAAAAGCGAAACCCCATCGAGCATTGCATGAGCTTTTTATTGGCAACGCCTGGAATGTTTCTCCGACTAGACGCGGGGATTCCCGTCCTTAGCTTGTAACTCTCATCGACCAGTCGATGGAAGCTCAGATGAAGTTCACTGTCCCAGGTGTTGAGTACCATCGTTGTTTCTTCGAGAAACTGTTTTTCATAATGGTAATGACGGTCGAAGAAGAGCGAAATGGCTTGTCTCTCATCTGGTGGGCTGGTCATGTAGCAAATGAGAGCATACTGGTCGCTCGCTGCCGGCAGCCAAATCAGTCTTTTCTTGGCTTCTTTGACTACACGAGGCCTTGACAAGTATTCCCAGAGCGAGAGGCTGCCAGAGATATAATGGCACTCGTCGCCGTCTGCCCTTTCCTGTTTGCTTAGATTTTTCTGCTTCCGGACATTAACCACACAAGAATACATCTCGATGGCGTTGTAATTTGTGAAGAAAGTTGAGTCTGAAGTTGGCAAAGCATCATCCTTCTTTGGCTCTGAAAGTCTTTGCATGTACTTTTCAGCTGCCTTTGTGATTACGATGTTTGTGTTATTCACCCGTGTGCTTATGTTGTTTGGCCATGTTGGACCCAAAAACTTCCTCATCTCTTCATGGAGGCTTTCGGCTGTCTTTTCATCGCTGCCTAGAAAGGATGGATAGTTGTAGAGCCATTCATCATCAAGGTCAATGATGCTGCTCTGATCGATGAAGCTATTGAAAGGGACGCTCTTCTTCATTGCCGTAGTCTTGGGTCGCTTGGACTTGACGTTCTGATAGAGGCCCGCAGACATGTTTTGAGATTCACCGGCATCAGCGGCAGAACCTTGATTTGTAGGCGACCTGTGCTCCTGTCGCTTTGGCTGCTGTGTAATCATATCTGCGACTTCGTTGAAGGGATGCTGGGGTGTCAATTGGAGCCTTTCGAGTCTGACTGGCGACTTGGGATCTTTTCCGGTAATGTCTTTGTATGCTGAGTCGATCTTTGGAAGATGCGTGAGAAGAACGTAGGGTATTTCGAAGCTTGCAAGGAAGTAGAAGTCTCGGTCCTCTTCTCTGGCGAACAGCGCTGGCTCTTTCGTAGTTCCGTCCAGTTGCCCATAAAAGAGCCCGTTAGGATTTGTGGATCGAAGTAAAACGTCAAAAGCAGATTTGACAAGGTCGTTCGGTGACCTTTTGTTAAGAGTCATGTTCCTGGTTCCCATCATGATTGCCAGCGCATACCTGATCGAGTTGTCCCACCCTGTCTCTGAATTCTCGCTATGATGGACCTGGGCCTCAATGGTGTTATCCCAGACCTCGTCAAAGAGTGTTTGTAAGAAGAAATTCCATTTGATGCCGTAGAATAAAGCAGTGTCGCTAGCATGGAGCAAAAAGCGCGTCTCGCGGGGAGACCGTGTCATTGCCAGCATTCGTTTCTTGGACACGTCGTTCTCGACAGTAAACCGCCGCAGGATATCCCGCTGGATGACATCAGAGTCGAACTTCCTGAAAATCTTCTCATCATCACTGACATGTTGGTCTCGTTGACCTATGTCAAGAACTTTCCGATCCTTTGTGTCGCCCTCAGCCACCTCTTCACGATCTATCTCTCCATCGTTCGGGTGGTCCTTCGTTTCAGAAGATCTTCGCCGGTCATCTTCGATTGTTTTCAACGCTCTCCATATCCAGACATGTTCATTGAGTCTGTATTTGTTGTACCCTTCATCTCGTGCGTGAGGCCAGACATGGGAGGCACGCTTGTCGGACTTGTCAAGTGTATGAAGCCAGGCTTTAGCAACCTTGTGTATCACCCTTCGGGCAAGTCTCCGATAGTCATTGCTGTTATGGGTGTCCATAAACGCGGAAATCTTCAATAAGTGGAAGGGTGTATCGGTGAAAGAGTCGCTTGGCATAAACGAACCATCATTCGCGTCAACCATGACTGTACCCGTTGGCCAGTAATTTGCTGCAAAAACTCCCGCTTCCGTAAGACCAGCTTTTGAAAGCCACTGCAAGTGGCCGCGACATACCAAATCTATTCTTCGTCGTAACGACTTATAAGGATGTTCGGCTCCAGCATGCTCGGTGTCATCCAGACGCTCTGCAATTTCAGACAGGAATGAGAACGCGAAGCTAACGAAATCAGAATGCGCCTGACGCGGGCTCGAGAGGAAAGGGGTAGGAGTGGTTTCTATCTTACAAACTCGCTGAAGAACACACCCTATGCATCGACATATCGCCACATGTCAGAGCAACTGCCACTGTTCCTCCCTCAACAGAAGGATTCTCAACAGGAATGGCACATGCTGACAAAATATTCTCTAAATTCCGGCGAACAACAAAGTCGATGTGATCCGTTGAGCTGTTGGTCGGCAATCGATGTGGTTGTGTATCTTTGGTCGATAAAACAGATTGCACCCATCGAATCCTGGATTTCTCGGGCTTCTCTGTTTTCTTGTCTTCGGCTGGCTTAATGTATTTTGAGATATGGAACGCCGTGAATTGGACTGACTTCAGATACTTGCCAACGTCCGCTCGGACCGCTGGTATGAGGAACTCATCCCATGCGGCATTAGACTTGGTCAGATGTACCATTTTGTAGGCGGCGACAACCTCAACTGTGGCTTTACTCCCCAAAGATCTTGTCCAAAGGCCGGTAATCGTACTATCACTATGACCCCAATGAACAGCCTTGCCATCTACAAAGACGGACACCACGACTGCAACAGCATCCAATGGCTCAGGCGACGGGAGCTCCGCATGTTTTGACACTTCCTTTGGATCTTCGCCTGCTGTCTCGATTTGGGTGGCGACTGATGGCATTAGGGTTGGTTCTGCTTCGTTATTCTTTTCTCTGTCCGCTCCATCATGTTGCAAATGTTGAACAAAAACCCACCCATAGCCATTTGGGGCTTGCCTTTGAAAATGACCTGGCTGCTTTTCTGGATCGGGCCACTGGAGATAATCCAAGTCTCGGATGTGCATAGCTTTGGCAAATCGGAAAGGGACTTCGACATCGTCCGCCCTATCGTTCGTAATAAGGCATTGCTGCAAAACCGTTCTCTCGTGAACCATCCACTGCAAAGTGAGTTTTACTTTATCGTGTTCCATCTCATACCGAGGCCATCTGTCATGAACATAACCTAGATTACGGCATCGCTGAGGGTTTATGCTAGGAAACCGCAGGCCGTAGCCATCGCTTTCGCGCACTTGATCTCGCTGCATCTCGAGCAGCTGCTCAGCCCTGCTTCGAACATAGAATGGCTCGTCTATGTTGCTATGGTCTGCGGAAAATACACCGGATTGACCAGCCCCTAAAAAGCTGCTAAATTGCATCAAGTCACCGTAGGCATTGACGGTGGCCGTTACTCCACAGTCCCCAAAAGAGGCGTGACACTCTGGATTCGGCGGGTTGAACCAATTGCTAATCTGATCATCTTTTAGTTGGAATGTCTCATTCTTCGCATCATGCTCTCCGAAGTGGCCTGATTGACATTAGTCGGTTAACCCTGTAAATTGAATAGCAAAGTAACTCACGATGGATGCGGCTCACAAAAGCATCACTGTCTTCTGCTGGAACATCGTTGTCATTCCATAAGAGCTGCTGTTCCTCGACAACCTTATCCAGCGCAGGTGCTGAACGCTCACTCTCGGCACTCGACATGTCTTCGTATCGCAAAGCAGCTGTGGTTCGTGGCCTTCTCGTTTAGTTGAGCGAATTTGCTTGACAGCCTGGGCGGGGCCAAGCCATAGTTATATACCTGCGTGTTGCCAAGCTGGTCCATATTGAAAAAAGGGTGTGGAAGACATTTCCCAATCAAGTTCTTCCATCTTTGGTTGGCGTTTCTTTTGGGTTGCGCGCGCGAATATCAATCACGAGGCTATTTCCGCTCTGGGCTGCTGACTGCATGTCGCTTGCGCCACTTGCCCAGAGGAAGTTATGGGCGACGGCAAGGCTGTGGAAAAAAGCTCACAGGTCTGAAAAGTAGGCTTGCTGTGCTTGGATTCCGGATCCCACGTCTTCTAGGCCAGCTGAGTGACTTCCTGTCCAAATTCTTTCGAAAGGGCATAGCGAGTGCGTCTTGGAAGAAGAGGATTGAGTGTCTGTTTCGGAAGACAATACAAGGTCGTATGTGAACTCTGGAAAGTTTGGAGTAGACGTATTGCCAGTTTCTCGAATGTTCAAAGGTAAAGCTTTGGATATGGTCTAGTAGAGCAGAGCGTGGCCTTTCGTCACTTCTCAAGCTGACACTTTCTCCTGCCACAACCAACGTCTTTGAGGTAGCCTAACCATTCTTCTTGCCATTCTGGACACCGGCACGCTTTGATAGAACGTGGCTCTTTCTTCATCTTCGCACTAACTCTACTATTGAGGGCGAATTCATGCTATAAGTGTGTCTGATTCTGAGATAAGCGCCAACCACCTTCAGCGCCTTTCGCTTCCCTCCTTGTTCGTACACGCAATTGCTATCACGATACTAGGTCTAGTCCGGCCGCAAGAGATACTGACGGTTACACAGGCAGTAATGGCAGCCTGGCAGCTTGTAATCTCGAGCGGTTGAACTCTTTGGCGGGGCAGAAAAAGGTCCTGAGTTGATTGGATCAAGTTAGCTACATGTCATGTGTCTTATTGAGACCCTTCATTGCAAAGGCATACGGGCATGCCCGTAGGTAAGGCCATGACCTTTCTTGAGGAGTCAGAGATGATCATCTATACAAATGTGTGAAACGTGAAAGAAGCTACGTCGAGGGCATGCCCTAAGGTGATCAACGAGACACGATGGTTTCTTTTCGGATTAATGGAAGGAAGAGCTGCCTTACTACATGTCGCGTGCCTCTTCATAACGCCACACTGTCCTGGTGCTCATGGGTATGCGAGCGACTGAATTCGACCGTCTTCGTCCGCGCATACACCCTGAGATATTGGCTCTAACCATCAGCTTCATCGCGCCAAGGAAGCAGATGAACTGACCGAGCATATTCCCATCCACTTATGGCTGTATCTTTCGACGGTGCGGTGAAGCAACTGAGGGGCGTCGTGGTAAAGTTCATGTAGAAGTGAAACTTGCATTTTTATGTCTCGCCGTTTACGGATATCAAACGAGATTGAGAGTAGTTGCAGGCAAGCAGGACCAATTAGTCCAACAACACCACTGTGCAAAGTCACGACACATCGTATTAGATCACGATCCTGCTGCGCGGCAATCATCTCCGTCTCGACTCACACAATAGTTTGACAGATTCTGTTGACGCCTGCAACAATCCGGTAAGTTACCTTATACATCGCTCGAGCAAAAGTAGGCACACGTTTGTAAGGGGAAGCAAGAAACGAATCTCTCGCAGATCACAAAAGACCAACACCATACTATACTAAAAACACCTTGACAACCCCGCCAAGCTGAGTAGACGCTAGAATCTTGTATCCCGATCTGGCATCATCAGAGTACGCGTCAAGGAACGGGAGTAACGAGACACCTGCGCGGGGTGCCGTTGATCAACAGAGGGGAAGTGAGACAGCAAAGCCGGTCTCAGTTCTCCGGCAGCGGTACGGCAACGGGCCGTGGTTAGTGCCCGCTCTCTGCTCCCCCTCCCCGTTGACGTTGACAGCTCTTGACCTCCAATTTGCACGTCGTTGAGATCAAGGAGCGAAAGGGGGAGAGGGCGGTCTGGCTCGTCTATAAAGAGCCAGAAATCCTCAGATGGAGCTGAGTAGAAACAGGCTCTTCTTGACCATCAAGCACTCAGATTCCAACTCGAAACCCAAGCAAAGACTTCTTTACTCTTTCTCAACTTTCCAGCGAAACATCACCCATCATGCCGGGTCTCCCCACTGCCACTGACGAGGAAGTCGGCTTCCAGCCGATCCCTTCAAACCCCTACCTCAAGCAGCCGGGATCCGCCCCAGGCTCGATCTCCAGAGGCGGCAAGTCATCGTGGGGTTCCTTCATGCCCCCCAACACCTACGAACCCATCGCAGACGAAGGCATCATCCACTTTAACCCCATCATCATCCTCTTCATGTCCCTCATCCCAAAGGACGACCTGACCAAGGCCGTTCAGTCGGCGCTGGGAAAGATCCCAGACTTTATGGCGAAAATGGGCATTGAGGACGCAGACACATTCTACAAATTTGCCAACGACATGCTCAAGTGGACTCCCACTGAGAACGTTCAGGCCAAGGATGTGTACGACATCCTGTGCCTGTTCTACTTCATCCTCGACCAGGAGCCGCTGCTGGGCAAGCAGACGCTCGTCCACCCGAGCTCGGTCGGGTTGCCCCTGACCCCGCTATCGAGCTGGATCGTGGTGTTTGCGCAGCTCATCGGGCTCTTTATGGATACGCCCGCCTCCATCAATGAGAAGACATTTAAGACGTTTGTCGACTCGCCAAAGTACATGATCAAGGAGGAGGCGCTCATCCCCGAGGGTGGCTTCCGCACCTTCAACGACTTCTTCTCCCGTCATCTCAAGCCGGGCGTGAGACCCATCGCAGATGAGGACGATGACAGGGTCATCACTTACCCGGCGGACTGCACCTATGATAACTCGCTCTACAACCAGAGCATCGTCAACGTCCAGGACACGGGCATCATTGAGATCAAGGGCCTTCCATGGACCATCGGAGCCTTGCTCCAAGGCAGCGAGTACGCAGACTGCTTCCACGGAGGCGTCTGGATGCATGCCTTCCTGAACACGTTCAACTACCACCGGCAGCATGCGCCTGTCTCTGGTACAGTCATCGAGGCCAAGAACATCCAGGGTGCCGCGTACCTCGAAGTGGACCAACAGTGTCGTCCGATCCGCAAGCTGTTCGTGACAGCTGAAGACATTGAGAAGGACCCCGCCTGCCGGCCCGAGGCGCCCGACTCCCCGGGCTACCAATTTCTCCAGACGAGGGGCCTGGTGGTCATCGACAATCCGGTGCTCGGAAAGGTGGCCGTGCTGCCGATTGGCATGGCCATGGTCTCGTCGGTCAAGCTATCGGTCCACGTGGGACAGAAGCTGAAGAAGGGCCAGGAGATCTCAACGTTCTTGTTTGGCGGGTCGGACATCATCTGCGTGTTTGAGCCGCGTGCCAAGTTGACGCCTGAGCACTTTGTGCCGTCGCCCAAGGACGACTACTCGAGGTACGGAAGTGTATTGGCGAAGGCGCCTGGGCAGGGCTCAAACGGAACTTCAAATGGATACCACTGATTGGGCTAGTTAGTTCAGGCTCATATCTGTACTCGTACACCGTAGCCCCCGAATGGTGATATCTGAAGTCTGAATTCTGAATTTTTGTTGAGAGAGCGAATGACTCTTTCTTCCCCTTCTGCATTCGCCGTGTCTCCGAGGTGGTCTTTGCAAGAGGACGGGGTTTTCAAAGTGTCCATGACTCCGAGAGTGACACAAACATTGTTCGTGCCCAAGAGTGGATTTCTTTTCCTGGAAAACCGGCCCAGAGGCCTCCACAGCTCGAGGTGGCGGCCACGGCGAGCCTCATGATTTCAGAGTCGCGGTCTGTTCTTGAAACAAACTCAGCTCGGCGGAGACCAGACGGGAGGACGAAGACCTTGGAAAGTGTAGATGCAAGGCGAAGAAGCGGACCGGCCCGTATAAGATGGGGAAAACTGCAATCCAAGGCAAATAGGTCAAAAGGCGGTGACTATTGTTTACCAAGATATGCATGGAAAAGGAGAAAAAGTGATGCTACGTGATGCAGGTTTGCGGCTCTCTCGTATTCAGGGGCAAATGCGGAATGTCAGCCTCAATGAGGAAAACGGAAGGCAGGAAAAAAATAAAAATGGATGGATGCTTTTTGAATGGCTGGGAAAACGGAGTCGGGCAAAGGTGTGTGTGAGGTTGGGTGACGTTGCAAAGCCACTTGCGCTTGTGCAGCTTGACGTGTCCGACGGTGGGACATCCGACAACGCTTTGATGTTGAAGCATCCAGGCGCAGGCTGCTGCATCTGTTTGCTGGTCGATGGTTCCGTTAAGATGCAGCTTCTTTTCGGGTACGGATGACTCATTGCGACACCCGAGACATTCTTGCATCTTTTTCTTATCTTTTTGTTGCCTTCTTTTCTCGCCGTTTCATCGTGCTCTATGTTGAGGATCTCGCCATCATCGAGAAAAGGCAGGAACGTATATTCCTACTTAGACTTGGGTAGGAAGTAGGTACGGATAGTCGCGCCTGCCAGGTTCATCCAAAAATTAATTAACCCCCAGCCACCTGTTTGCGCGATTCTATGGAGAACTCTGCTAAATAAGTGGATTTTATCACGTGCGATAAGAGCTTCAACCTATCGATAAGCTGCTGACCGTCGCTGAGCCAGGGGTGTGGCGCCAAGGAGGACCGCGTTACCCCGCGCAACCACGTCTGCGAGTCTGCAAGGACCGTCTTTCGCTGACACTTGGAACTGGAACCCGGTTGCTGCTGCCGCCGCTGGGTGGTGAGCTCACAGACTGGCTAACCCACTCACTCCCGCCCGTCTCTCTCTTTTTTCTTGGGACTGCCTGCCTTGCCTTACCTTACCTTAGTCTCTCTTCACTAAAGATAGTACCTTGAGGTCTATCTTGAGAGATTTCTTTGTTCTACTTCACTTTTTTTGAGCTGATGCCAAAGAATAACGTCTTCTTTTGCTTCACACTTTCACCAACACCGAGAAACCACCCCCACTTACCTCCGGACGTCTCACCGACCGGCTCATAGGGACCCTCCCAATCCCCCTCCAAGACAAACACATTCCTCGGGGGTCCCTTTCTTTCGAGTCGAGTCGCCCACGATAGAGACACTAAACGCAATCAGACAATCCCGCATTCCTCAAATCTACCGGCCCCGAACTGAAGGACCGCTTTGCCCGTCGTCGCCATCATGGCGCCGGCAGATGGGTACTCGGCGCCCGGCGTCGCTTCCTACGACTCCAACACCATGACCGTTGGTGATGGCACCTGGGACTTTAGCAAGAATACCTTCTTGTTGCCTAACCTCGTCGGCCTCAATTTCGAGACGATGCAGTACAATGGTGAGCACACCTTACTCCCAGACACGGCGTATTCGCTGTGGCCCCAGCCCGACTAACACGCGATCACCCACAGGCATGGGCAATCGCTTCTCGACCGTCGCCCAATACCATACTCTCGTACTCGCTCACGGGGTCATGGCCGCCATCATCTTCCTCCTCATCGTACCATTATCCGTTTTTACAGCCCGCTTCTACACGGCGAAACCTGGCTACGCGATACCTTACCATGCTCAGCTCAATATCCTCGCCGCGCTTATGCTCGTCGCCGTCTTCGTTCTGGGCTGGTTCGCCGTTGGCCCCGAACGAAGTTGGACCAACCCTCACCACGCAATCGGCCTCGCCATCTTCATCATGTTCCTCCTCCAAATCATCGGCGGCCGGCTTGTGAGACACATTAGGGGACGTTCGCTCCGCAAAATGTTTCACCGCTGGAGTGGTCGGCTCATTGCGCTTCTCGGCATCATTCAGGTCCCTCTCGGTCTGACTCTCTATGGCTCGCCCAAGTGGACCTTCATCATATTCTCTCTCTGGCTGGCGTTCCTGCTCCTCGTCTACTTCATCCTCAGCTACCGCGCCGAGGGTGCAGACCACCACCGTGGCCGTGAGACCTACATCAGCGGAGGCCGCTCCGAAGGCCCCAGCGGCATCACCGAGTCGGAGTATTACAGCGACGTCTACACCGAGAAGACCAAAAAGGACCGCAAATGGCTGGCGCCCCTCGCCGCGGGTGCGACGATCGCCGCTCTCTTCAGTCGCAAGAAGCACAAGGAGAAGGAGAAGGAGCTCAGCCGGGAACGATCGCGATCAAGAAGCCGCAGTCGTGGGCCGGAGGTTATCGGTTCCCGGCGTGGATCCGCCAGCTATCTCACATCTAGACGGGGCTCAGGCACATACCTCGAAGACGAAAAATTCACCGAAGTCGATTCTCGACGGGATGACAAGAAGTCGGGGGGCTTCCTGTCTAAGCTGGCTGGTATTGGCGCTGTCCTGGGCGCTGGCAAGCTCGTGTCGAATCTTATGAAGCGTAAGGAAAAGCATACTTATGACGAAGAGTACTCCGCCGTATCTGTTGAGACCCCGAGACGCCGCCCGAGTCGAAGTTACCCTGCTACGAGTGAATACACCGATTACACAGACTGGACTGAGGACACCCCGCCACCGAGGCGTGGGCCCCGTGACGGACCCATCCTGCCAGCACCTGGAGGACCGGCAGCGGCAGCCGCTGCTCTGAGCGCCGCTGAACCACGAACCAACCGCCCACCGCACGCCAGAACCCGATCACAGTATAGCTTCGAGGACTCGGAATACTCATCGTACGTCAGCCCGTCCAGACGGAGAGAGGACCAGCCCGTCGCCGCCGGTGGGGCCGGAAAGGGCATCCTCGCGGGCCTTGGCCTGGGATGGTTCGCCAAGAAAATGGCCGACCGAAAGGCGAAGCGCGCCGAGGAACAAAGAATTCGAGAAGAGGAGGACATGAGATCTGGTATCACAGGTTCGAGGTACACGGGAGACGGCTTTCACTCTCCCTCCCGCGATCGGAGAGGGTCCCGCCGCATGAGCGGACGTCGGCCACGGCCTCCCATGTCTGCCTTGAGCACCGAGATCACACAAATGACCGAATCCTCCGAATTGGAACCTCGACCTCCCGGCACAGGGTACGGCGGCCCACCGATGCCTCCCCTCTCCGCCGGTCCCCCACCCCCACCTGGCGGCCCAGGAATCTACCCAGTCGGCGACCACTCCCGCACAACTTACTCCAGACACGAAGTCGTCGAGTCCGGTATCAGCATGCCCTCGATGCCCCCTGACCCAGCAGGTGTCCTTCACCGCGAATCCGAAACGGATGTCTACGGCTCACCTAGCGGCAGGCCCCGACGCCGCGACTCATCCAAGCGCAGGCGAGCCGGCGAAGAAGCTGCCGCCGCCGCCGTCGCATCAGCGAGCGTTCTCGCCGCCGAAGAGAACGCCCGCCGCCACCGCGCCCAATCCGAGCGCTCGCAACCTGTGAGCGTCAAGGTCCGAGTCCATGACGACAAGGATAGGAATGTTACGCTGCGGAGGCTGACGGAGGAAGAAGCCGCCGCGAGCAGACGCGGGGACAGGAGGAGGCGCGCCGGGTCCGTGAGCAGTCTCTACGGCAGCGAAGTCGGTAGCGGACGGCGGTACCGTCGGGACTCGAGCCAGAGGAGAGCAGAATCAGCAGCAGAAAGGTTAGCAGAGACGGGAGGACGAGACGGCAGCCTACCACCACCGAACCCTGCTTTCGCCGCGGGACGACAACCAAAAGACTCGGCATATTACTCTGGCGGCCCACCGCCGCCGCCACCTGGCGTGATGATGGGTGAAGGAAACGTCTCGAGCATAGGCAGCGAGAATACCCACGGTACATGGAGCCAAATGAGCCCTTCGCCCAGCGCGGCAGACAATCTGAAGACTAACCCCGTCGAAACCGCAGCAGCCGATAATCGTCGTAGACGCAGGCAGGAGCGTAGACGGAGCAGCGCGAGTCGCCCCACGGGCGCCGATATGTTTGATTAAAGTTGCCTCTAGGGTAAGAGGTAGAAAAAGAGCTTTTTAGAAAACCCTGCCGCAGCCGCAAGCGCAAACGACGAACGATTTTTCTCAATCGAGGTCAATCACACCTCATCCGCCTATATCACCTCTATCACGACCGAGACGACGTCAATATTGAACCCTTTCCTCTTTTACCGAACATAATAGGGTTCGGTAAGTATGATCTGATTGAGGAATAGCAAGCTATGAGGCGAAAGAAAGAAGAAGGAGAAACACGAAATGAGAAAGAATGCATTGGGTCGGGGGGTTCAGATTCGAACCCCCCGAAAGGAGTTCGGTCATATATGATTTTTGCGGCATGAAACTGGTTGGGAGCATTTTCTCACACACATTGCGGGAGTCAGAGAATCAGACTCTGTTCATCTCTCGTATGTCGTTGCCGTTTTTATAAATGTATGGAAGGGTGGACAAGTAGCCAAGACACCCTTTCGAATTAGATGATTGTACGAAAAGAATAACGCAAAGAATGGTGGATGAGTTGTGGGTATAATGGGAATTGAAAAAAAAAAAAGAATCGCTCCATCAATGTCTTGCGTCTATGTGACTCTCGTGTGACCTCGTATAGCATCAACAGAAAACACGTGTACACGGTTATCGTTGCATCTGGAATGTTATTGCGTCGGCTGCGTGCCGTTATCATTCTAAGCAGGCAAAGCTGCTTTCTTATGTATAGTGTGGTCTACAGCCTCATGACCCCTTCCTCCTCTCGCATTCTAGAAAGTGGTGATGAAGGACAAAGGAAAATCGCCCCTGTGCGTTCCCCATCATCCCATCGCTATTGCTTCCTTGATGCGCTCCATGTTAACCGATCCAAAAACATCCCAACTCGAAAATTCATAAGTGAAAAAGAAGAAGAAAAAAGTGGCGTAGGAGAACCTTTCCCGCCTTGGTGGTCATTTCATATGCCCAAACTCCTTGCATGTTTCCCAAATCCAACCCAATTACAAGTGGAAAACCTCGTTTCCCCTCGTTCAAGCGCCGCGAAAAACCCAACGCCAAATGAGTGTATTTCCAAGCACTTTTTAATACTCGGCACCGCCAAAACTCTTGTTCCTCGTGAGGGTCGCACGCTTGATACTGGCTCGCGGGAGATGCTCATAGCTCTTATTGCGGCTTCTAGCCGTGCCGGGACGGACTCCAGGAGTAGCAGGATCACCCTCCTCGGCCGCAACCATGGCGTCTGCTGGCAAGGAGGCGCTTTCCTTGATGCTAGCAACGAAGAAGGAAGAGATAAGCACGGCGATGCCACCGAGGGCCAATACGATAGCGATGGAGTGATCGCCTGGGGTTCCGCGAGGTTTCTGCCAGATTCTAAAGATGATGCTGGATCCAACCGTGGCAATGATTTGAGGCGCAGCGATGGCCATGTTGTGAATGCCCAAGATGACGCCGGCCTGATCTGCCTCCTCACTATCGCTCAAGTCGGTCTGGTCTGAGTCAGCGGTAGAGTCGATGGTGGAGGGTGACGCCGGGCCATCGCCTCTGCTGGGACTGAATTGCCGCTGCTTTCTCTGGCGAATCTTTGCATCCCTCCGGCTGATCTCAGCGCTGATGATGGCCCAGGGTGCCCAAAGTGTCATTGCCCAGGTTATTCCAACCAAACCGATCAAAGCCGTAGCCGCTTCCACCGTACGCACAATGACGGTGCAGAACATGGCGCCTGAGAAGAGAATCAGAGATGCAAACCAAGCCCGCTTCAGGGTAAATCCGGGGATCTGCAGTCGATCCAGCCAGGACGCCTTCTCATCACCGAACTCTCCACTGTCACTGTCTCCTGGAAGATCACCGAGCGGCTGACTGTCGTAGGTAGGCGCGACGAAAAAGGGGAGGAAGACGTTCGTGAGCAAGCTGACAACGGAGTTGATGAGCAGGGCAAAAGTTCCAATACGAGTTGCTCTCTCGTAGAGCTGGTCGAGTTCTTCCGGCGTCATGTGGGGGTTGGCCTCCAAGTACGGCTCGACGTAAATCTCGCCAATGTACGAGGAGGTGTAGAAAAGAAGCGGGAAAAAGCCGACCCATGCGCACAGTTGGACTTGGCAAACCTTCCTGATCTGAGGCGGCAGACGCTTGATTGATGTAAAGATTTTGCCGAAGAAGGAAAACACACCAGGCTTGCCCGAAGCTGGCGGGCCTTCCAGTCGAGGGTCGCGCTCCTTAATCAATGTGGTGCTCACTGCAATAGTCGCAGCAAGAGCAATGCTGGCGATGGCGCAGAGCACCTTGAACTGGCTGTCACCCAAGAACCAAAGGTACGTAGGGAGGTTGATGTAGCCAGCAATGTAGCCGACAATGTTTCCGAAGCCAGTAATACGACTCGCCATAGCGTTGGCAGCTTCTTGCTGGTGAGCCGGAGCACAGTCCACAATGAAGGCCCGGATAGAGGCCTGCACGGTGTTGATGGCGAAATCAAGGACGTAAATGCCAACCACGGCCACGCAAATAATGGTGTTTTTGACGGCGACAGATTCAACATCAGCGCCAAAGAGGCTCATGACGCCACCCACGATTTCTCTGGTCCATGCCAGGAACATGAGAGAGATGATAGTTGCGATAGCCCCGCCGACCATGAAGGGTTTCCGCTTACCCCATGGCAGTCGGCAATTGTCGCTGAGCATGCCGACATAGGGCTGAACCAAGGTGCCGGTAAGCGGGCCAGCAATCCACACCAGGGCCATCAGCGACTTGCTCAATCCAAGGGATAGCAAATAGGGAGACCCATTGGACAACTCGACAGACCAGGCGATTTGCAAACCACCGATACTAATGGTCAGGAGAATCAGGTACCATACGCTCTTGGTTTGCTGTGTATCTTCCTGCTGCGCTGCCAGTACGGCGTGATGATCGAAGTAGCCCTCGTCGTCGCTGTTGGGGGAGAGCAGCGGCGATCGCTCACTGCGTACGCCTCTCTCCTTGGGATTCGACGGTGCAGATTCGGTGCTCTGGGCGATTGATGGCATCGGACGGCCCCTCCTGGGGGACTGAGACTGAGACGAAGGCATCTCTTCGGTCGTTGAGCGTCAAGCCGCGATGACTCGGAAGTGAAGCGATTCGGAAGGTCGATTTCGAACAGGCCCACTAGCGGGGCAAGCTGGGGAAGCGTTCGTTCAATGCGGGGAGGTCGGCTCGATCGATTGACGGACGAGTCTTTAGACTAGGTCGGCTAGATGACAGGCGACGAGAGAGTATATAAATGGCGGACCGAATTTGCAATGGCAATGACAAGTGTTTGTTCGTTGCCGGGTTGGGCAGAAAAAGAAGTTGTGTTGTCACGCGGTCAAGTGGGAGGATGCCACGAGACCCCCGAACACGGGCTGCTGGTACAAGGTGATTCGATTTCTGACGATGACAGAGCGGCGGCAGGAGTGTGCGTCATTCGCTGGCTGGGAACTGCGCCCTGGCTGAATGACCAACTGTCTGGTGCAGGTCGGTTCCTGATTCGAGCCCAGGCTATGCGGTTCGATGCAGGCGAGGGCAAATGAGGAGCTGTACCGTCGGTTGAGGTGGTGTGCTAGGGTTGCGCCTGGATGTCCGAGTACCTAATACTAGGGTAAGAATAGGCCTGGTTCCGAGTCTCGACTCGACAAGCAATGTAGCGGACAGCGGGAGAGCGGCAGCCAAATGCACCGTCTTGGGACCGCTGGCAGTGGCAGATAGAACCAGGGGCGAATTTGCAGATGAACTGGCGGAGCGGGGCGAATGAGATACGAATACCACTGGTGTTGATGGTGGACGGACTGAAGAGTTGTCTTGATCCGACTCTTTGCTTGACGGTCTAGGGAGTCTGAGACTGGACGAGGAAAGCAGCTAAATGCGACCTTGGGCAGGGTAGGTTGGCGTGGTCGGATGGATAAAGACTGCACGTGGCGAAAAGGGAGAGCGACTGATGGACGAGACACATGCAACGTTGAAAAGAGATGGTGAGGGGGAGGGAAGGGGAAGGAAATGTTATTATTTATTCACTTGGTTCCGAGCACGTTGAGTGGTGGAATTGATGGAATCTTCCACGGCTAGTAAGGCGCGGGTTCCGGATGAGGAAGAGAGGAGAAGAGGAGATGGCTTGGAACAGGAAAGGGAAGGGCGAAAGAGAAGGGGACGGGAGACAGAAAGACAGGAAAATGGCGGGGCCGAGAGTCTAACACACACTGCCCATGAGGTGACAGCACAAGTCCCAAGTCGCGATGGCATCGCACAGAGACGGTGAAAGAGAGCGACACCCGTCGACCTTACTTCCTTGCCTGTTCCCGGGGTGGCCCCCGCATTCAGTACGTCATGCCCGTAGCTCCTTCACCTCCACTGAGTCCTGAGATGCTGGGCCGCTACGTTTGCTCCTATCTTTTTTAGGGGTATCGCCCAGTCCCGACTTCTCAACCTAACTTAAGTTGTCCCCAGACGAAACGCCCGCCATTCTTTGCACTGCATGGATTGCTGCTACTACCTAGGTACTCCGTACTGCTTCTGCTGCGCAACCCAAGGGAGACAATCTGCACACCGACGTTGCTATTTCATCACCTCGTGGTTGGGGATAATCAAAATGGGAATAGACCATGACAGAGAACACCAAAAACAATGCAACAGACTTGACGGGCGTGCATAGGACCCTCCACCGGTACTTGCTCTCTGACAATACCTCCAACAACATGGAAAGACACATGTAGGCCTCGTGTGCGCGCTGCATACACCATTTTCAGGCAAAAGTAAGGTACGATAGGGCACAATCTCACCATCTCACCATCTATCTCACTCATCTGGCCCCCCCTCAGATCGCAACCCCGTGTCTCTGCGTGTGGTAGAACAGCCGTCTTCGGCTGACGGTGCCATCCATCCGGCTGATGAGCCCTCACGAGGGATCTTGATCAAGTGCTACCCCGGTTTCCCAACAAGTCCTGCCACAGCACCCTCAAGTGTCAGATGTCTTACCGGCAGTCCACATCCACAACACCCTCAGCTTGGATGGTCCCTACAACCGTTTCCACTGGATCTCTTTTACGGCCCCCGCGGACATGGAAGCTGGGGAAAACAATGGGCCTCTCTTACTTTGCGGAGAACCCGTACTCCGTACACAATAGGGTAGATTCCACGATGCTTACCTCACTGCGTCGGTAGGCAATGCAATGCCACAGTGGGTGGTATGGAACCTTACCTAACCTTACAAGTTACTGCCCATGGATGTGCTCAGCTGCGTTGGGCCCAGTATTTGCCCGAGTTCTAGAATCTAGCCCATGATGGGGCCCCTCATCGTCGACCTCAACTGGTCCTCCCAAGCACGTGCCGTGTCAAATGAAGTCATGCTTCCTGCAGGCAGCGGTCAAGCTCGACCCAATCTTCCTGCCACTTCCATTGCATGATGTGGACTGCACTACTTCCTGCCGACGTTCATTATGCATCAAGATAGAACATGCAACACAGCGGTTCATCATGCAATGAAAGAGAAGAGGTAGTACAATAACCAGATTTTGACACAAACGCAACTATCAGTCTTATCGGAATCCAAGTGACCTACCTGCCTTACCTAGGTAATCCTCGACGTGTCCCACAACTCCGTCTCACCAGGTTCGGGCCCGAGCTACCATACCTTACCTTGTACCCTACCTTACACTATCCGTACAAATACAGGCTAACATCGTCTGGGCCCGCAGTACCCGGTACTTAAGGATCTGCGCTTGGCGCTGCGTTTTCCGCCATCAGCTAGTGACACGCGCCCGCTTTCCATTGTAACTCTACCACCCCGCCGAGGCTACGCAAGCAAAACCGCCCGTCAAACAGCACCCATCCAATCACCGCATCGCTCCAGAGCCACTTCCTGCCATTGCGCATTTGTTGCAGCCTCCGACCAGTGGCTGGCTCCCGTCCCGTCCTGCCTGTCGACCTGCGCTGCATCTGTACCTCTAGTGGACACCTCTACGAACCTTACATCAGAACTGGCCTTTTGCTAAAGTCTGTCTGTCCTTCGACTGCATTGGCATTGAAACTTGGCGACATCTCGAAAGAAGCTACCGACCTAGATACTCTCGTCGTCAGCTCATAATCCTGCGGCGTACGACGACGAGCTGCCCTGTTGATGATCGCCATCCGCCCATCTCGGAGCTCACCCGCGAGCCGCCGGTCGCCCAGCTTTCCTCTCGACTCTGGATCTTACTCCGTCACCAACCCATAAACAACGACATCGTCGCGAAACCACTAACGATATGATATCCGCGACGGATATTGCGGGAACGGCCTTGCGCCTTGTCCGTATGTTACATATTTACACTACACCTCTCGCAGGCGACGAGGCTGCGTAAGCTGACTTTGTTTTGCCAGAACGTGCCGCCGAAGAGGGCGACCCTGAAGGTAAGCTATCAACCAGATCACCTTCAGTCTTTGCGCTGCCGACCATTGCGACTGACCGCAGAATCTAGGCTCCGATGGCTCACAGAAGGAGATCTTCGCCGCATGGGCGCTGTTCATTTCCATCATGCTACTCATTACAGCCTTCTTGACGAGCTACTTCCTCCAAGAGCGCAAGATCGAGGCCGTCCACGAGACGGTTATCTCCATCTTTGCAGGTTCGTCTCCGTCGCCTATGACCAAAGCACACGATGGTCTCTAACACATGCTGTAGGAATGACTGTCGGGCTGCTCTTGCTCGTGACCTCTGGCGATTCGATCCGAAACCTCATTAGCTTCGACTACCAAATCTTCTTCAACCTACTACTACCACCAATCATCCTTGCCTCCGGCTACGAGTTACACCAGGCCAATTTCTTTAGGAATATGGGCACTATCCTGACGTTCGCTTTTGCCGGAACCTTCCTTTCAGCTGTCGTCATCGGTCTCATCTTATGGCTCTATGCGTTGACCGGAGTCGAGTCCATCAGCATGTCGTTTGTCGATGCCATCTCTGTGGGCGCGACCCTGTCGGCCACCGATCCCGTCACTATCTTGGCCATCTTCAACTCGTACAAGGTGGACCCCAAATTGTATACCATCATCTTTGGCGAATCGATCCTCAACGACGCCATTGCGATTGTCATTTTCGAGACGGCGCAAAAGTATAAGAAAGGCGATGCCTCTAAGCTCGGTGTCTTGAGCTTCTTTGAGGGTATTGGCATCTTCTTGATCGTCTTCTTCGGAAGTTTGTTGATTGGTGTGCTTGTTGGAGTCATGACGGCATTGCTTTTGAAACTCACCTACATTCGACGATACCCCAAGAACGAGAGTTGTCTGGTTGTGTTGATTGCGTATGCTACCTACTTCTTCTCGCATGGCATCCACATGTCTGGTAAGATCCTCAATAGTTCCCTGCCTTGAATCAGCACATCGCTAACAATATACAAGGCATTGTATCATTGCTATTCTGCGGTATAACGCTGAAACATTACGCTTATTTCAACATGTCTCGTCGGACCCAGCTCACGACCAAGTTCATCTTCCAGATCCTTGCGCAGTTGTCAGAGAACTTTATCTTCATTTACCTTGGTCTAGCGCTGTTCACGGATAATGCGCTGCAGTTCCGACCCCTGCTGATCATCATTACCGTTTGCGCTGTTTGCGCTGCTCGTTGGGTGGCAGTGTTCCCTTTATCTCGCCTCATCAACTGGGTCATTCGTTACAGGGCTCGCCGGAGGGGCGGAGGAGAGGTGAGCGATGAGTTGCCCTACAACTATCAGGCGATGCTTTTCTGGGCTGGTTTGCGTGGAGCCGTCGGTGTCGCTCTTGCTGCGCTGCTTACTGGGGAAAACTCCTACGCGCTCAAAGCCACCGTCCTAGTGGTTGTTGTGCTAACGGTCATCATCTTTGGTGGCACGACGGCACGTATGCTGGAGATACAAGGAATCCGCACTGGCGTCGTCGATGAGATTGACAGCGACGACGAATTCGACATTGAGTCGTTTAACGGCGGGCAATACGTCAAGCGCAACAGCACAGGCATCGGATATAATCCTAGGAGGAACGGCAGCCTGTCGCTGGACAATATATCCTCGCGCAACGGCGCTCGGCCAACGGTGGGATCCGAACGTAGCAGTTATGTCTCGGGCTCGCACTCGCCGAACCCGATCAAGAGACAATCGAGTCTCAGTCGCAAGAATTCTGAGATCGAGAGGTCTGATCTGCTGGGACGGAGTGGCAACACGACGGACTCGGACCTGGGAAGCGATATCGACACGTCGGACCTCCCGCCTCCAGCCCGTCGGGACCCGCGCCGCACAAGCCCGATGGTCACCCCCGGAGCCTCGCAGGCGACCGGATCTTCCGCCGGTGGCCTACTCGCGCAGACCGAGCCTGCCGCCGGAGCTTCGGTCGCGCCTCACCACGTCTCAGCGACTACTGCCATCAGACAGCTCTTCAGTCACGGAGCCGAGGACGCGGCGGGTCTGTTTAGGCAGCTGGACGAGGATTACATCAAGCCTACGTTGCTGCTCGACGGCAACACTCGCGGCAATGGCTCTGGCTCCGGCCCGGGTGCAGTCTAGGCTAGTGGCTTGTCGATTACTGGCTTGTAGGTTTCGTTTCCAGGGTCATTTTTCTTCTCTGTATATGTCATCAAGGGAAGGGAAGGGCGGGCTTGCTGGGTTTGTTCCATGTTGCTTTTAGAGACGTGGTCATGTATCGCACGCACGCACTCCGAGGCGATGCCAGGAAGTGTCAAGCTGCATTCAAACGGGCGTTTTGGGCGCATATCTTATAGAGCTTGGCCGCAGGTAGCTTGCGGCCATGAGAATTTCAACTGGCAAAATATTGATGAAACCAGTTGTGTATCTTGATGAGTGATGTTGAAGACGTGCAGACCATGTCTGTAGTACTTAGTCGTGTGAGGATATAGTCAGTCAGTTTGTGTATTCGCAATGGTCTCAGTCCGCAAGATCAGGACAGGATTATGAAGTGGAGGTATCTTTGTTAACTTTCTTGATTCTTTCATTTGCATCTTTGCCTTTTCGTCGGCAGCCGAATGCTCCCTTTTCCCCCATCTCTAGAAAAAGCAAGGTAGAGAGTCCTCGTCACATCCCCTTGGCTGCCGCCGCCGCCACCTCTCTTTTCTCGTCTTCGCATTACAAAGTGGTTATATACAACCTAGTTCGGTACCAAGTTGTCTTCGTTCTCGTCTTTGGGTAAGTGGGGAGGAAGAAAACCAAGCCGAGAATCTCTCACAATTGTGGGGGTATTCTCTTTCTATGTACATGGTGTTTTTTTTTTTCGTCTGCTCGCAAATACCGCTCGCTTTGGCCCCCTCGTGTTTCCCCCAACTCTCGTCTATTCAGTAACGCCGTCGTCTACTCATAGCGAGAAACAGGTAAGAAAGAGATAAACACGAACCCACAGTTCCCAAAGAAACTAAGGGGGCTAGCGAGCGGTGCGACGACTACGCAGGATGTGTGTGCCCTTCTTCTCCCGCGGGCGAATTCATCCGCGACCTCCGCGACGCCTCTTTTGGCATGGTCATATGATGCCCGTCCTCCCGCCACGTCCTTGGCGTTTGGTATTCCTACTCTCCATAGACCTTCATGTCATTGTTCGCATAGTAGTGATGTTGATGTCGTTCATGAAACCGTGAACGTGCCCTCGTGTTTCCCATTCATGGCGCGGGCGTGGGCGTGGCAGATGGAGTAGCGCTTCCACTAGCTTGGCGCTGTTGCTGAGCTTGCTGGGCTTGCTGGGCCTGTTGCTGTTGAACTTGCTGAGCCTGTTGGGTCTGCTGTTGTTGGGTCTGCTGGACCTGCTGCTGGGCTTGTTGCTGAATTTGCTGATGAGCCTTCTGCTGCGCCTGCTGTTGAGCCTGCTGAGCCGGCTGGGAGGGCTGGGCCGGCTGGGAGGGCTGGGCCGGCTGGGTAACCTGCGGTGATTTCTGTGCCTGCTGAACCTGCTGAACCTGAGGTGACGGCTGTGGCTTTGGTGCCTGCTGAACCTGGGGTGATTGTTGCACCCTTTGAGCCTGCTGAACCTGCGGCGACTGCTGCGCTCTTTGAGCCTGCTGAACTTGCGGCGATTGCTGCACCTTCTGGGCCTGTTGAACCTGTGGCGACTGTCGGGCCTGTTGCTGAGGCTGCTGTTGCTTCTGAGCTTGCTGGGCGAGTTGAGCCTGTTGAGCCTTTTGAGCCTGCTGGGCCTGCTGGAGCTTCTGAGCCTGGAGCAACTGCGCGGCATGGAGAGCCTGGGCCGACTGAGCAGACTGGGGCCGTTGGATTTGCTGCGCCTGTTGTGCCTGCTGAGTCGTGTGTGCCTGCTTTGGCATCTGCTGAGGCTGTGCGGACTGAGGCCGTGCTTGATGCTGCTGGTGTTGGGTGTGTTGAGGCTGCACATGTTGCTGTTGACCATTCTGCTGCTGATGTTGCTGTGCCTGTTGCTGGCCATGGTGCTGTTGGTGAGCTTGTTGGTGTTGCCCATTCTGAGCCTGACCATTCTGTGCCGCTGCTGCCGCTTGTTGCTGTTGCTGCTGCTGTCTAAGAAGAGCAGCATACTGATGCGGGCTGGTCGTGGCAGCGATGCCGTTGGCAATACCCGGAGACGAGGCGCCTCCACCGCCAGCAGCCGCATTCATGGCATTTTGCGACATGGTCGTCCTTTGATGAATCATCAGGCGAGTAAGATGCTCTGTGGCATGTTGGCGCACGAGCTCAGGTGTCCAGGTCGGGTTCTTGAGCCGATATTGGTTTTCCAGGTTGCTAAGCTGTTGCTGAATGCCAGGCGGCACTTGTGTGAGGGGGCGAGGTGAGCCTGAAGCGCCGTTAGGCATATGGAGACCACCGGCAGGAGACGTAGCCACACCGCCACCATTAGCAGCGTTGAATGCCATCATGGCTTGGGCATTAGCCTGAGCATTGGCAATGAAGCTCTGCTGGTTCACACCATTGACGCCGTTAACACCATTCACACCGTTAGCGCCATGGACGCCATTAACTGACGCCGGCCGCATGTTTGGCGGAGAGTGAGACTGAGACGCATGAGATGTCGGTGTTCCCTGGTGCATTTGCTGTTGTTGTTGCTGCTGCTGCTGCTGGGACGGTTGCTGTTGCTGCTGTTGCTGCTGTTGGGCCTGCTGGTGTTGCGGCTGCGGCTGCTGTTGATGAACCTGTTGCTGGACTTGTTGTTGGGCCTGCTGCAGTTGAACAGCCTGTCGCTGCTGCTCTGAGATACGCCGTGCCTGCATCATGAGGTTGACATCAGGCTGAGGGTTAGGCATCGGCATCCTGTGCTGAGCTTGCAGCGCCGCCTGCATCTGAGCCGTTTGCGCCCCGTTCATTGGCATGGGAGGCACAAGGCCACTCATCTGGGCAGGAACTGCACCCATATTGGCGGTCGGAGCTTGCATAGGCATACGGCCTCGGCCTGCTTGACCCGGGACAGCGAGCTGATTAGGCATATTGGGACGGGCCATGTTGCCGTTGACTTGAGCCGCAACGCCTGCCGGTACTTGGCCTGCGGCGGGCGTCGTAGCGATCTGGGCAGCAACCTGGCCTCGCTGTTGCATGGTGATGCGTCTCTGGGCCTCCTGGCGCTGATGGAACTGAGCCACCTTCTCGGCAAGTTGCTGGTCGCGCTCCCACCTCATCAAGCTGTAATCCCTAGGTGTCTTGGTAGGTCCTCTGGGTTGCGCGGCCTCGTTAGCCTTTCGCATGGCTGCCATCTGGGTGGCATGTTGCTGCTTCTGGGCTGCAGTCTCGCGCTTCTTGGCCAGCTTCCTCATAGCATCGATCAGCGTAAGATGCTTCTGATTGCGTCGTCGCTCAACCCTGAGCGGCGTTGAGGGCCTGCGTCGTGCGACCGGCGTAGTCGGCGCCGCCTGGCCGGCAGCTTGTTGCTGCGCGATCTGGTTTTGCTGCACGATGACACGGTTGGCAGCATCAATCCTGTTCTGATATGCCTTAAAGTACTGCGTTTTCTGCATATCCGTCGGAAGGCCTTCCAGGTTGATCCAACGTTCGAAGCACTCCCAAGGCGTTCTTCGCTCAGCCCCGGATGTAAACACGGATCTAGGCGTGAGAAGGCTGGAAATGAGTGACCAGTTGTATGAGTACTCGCGAACCAGGCTCCGCAGCTCGTCATCCTCTGCCAAAGTCCACTGTGAGGGGCTTCGGCATTCATAGAAGCTTTGCATGGGCATCTGGTATTCCGCCGGAGGGCGGAACTGATGGCCGGCGTGAAGACGGTCTCTGATCGGCTTCATTTCGGGGTTGAACAGGGCCACATCAGCATTCTGCGGTGGCAGCTTCATCCTCTTTGCGGGCTGAGATCCGAAAACGACCTTCTCATCGTCATCATCCTCTTCCTCTTCGTACTGGTATCGGCTCCTCTTTCTCGGTGGTCCATCCGAAGAAAGCTTCATCTCGCCTTCCACGTACTTGCTCAGAGGAAGAGCAGGGCGACGCCAGTGCGCATCGGGGTCGAATTCGGGAACAGTGAAATCGAATGCCGGGATCTTAAGTGGTGTTCCGTACATCGGAAGCTCCTGAAGCAGCTGGTCCGCGGTCGGTGAACTCCGAAGCTCGAAAACAACGTCGTCATCTTCGAGAGCAAAGATTGCAGACGGGGCTACAGTCTCGAGAACCTCCTCTCGTAACTCATCGACGTGTTCGGGTGAATCCAGGTCGCCGGAATGTACCAGCTCGGGAGTTGCGTGTGCATCGATCACATCCAACGAAATATCGGCCATGGAGGCATCGCCTTCGGTCTCAAGCTCGACTGGCTGCTCCTTGGGCGGGATGTACGCGGGAACTTGGAGCTCCTTGCGTTCTTCCTCACTTGAAGCAACCCATTCAGCACAGGCGTGCGCAAGATTCCGAGCGGCCGCAAGTTTCCATTTCTTTTCTTCCCGGAAGTCCGTCCTCATCCACTTCATCTCCTGAAGCAGCACATCCAAATGAGATTCCGGGCGAATAGGTTCCGGGCACCTCTTTGGCTGTCGCAATGACCATTTGTCGTGCTGTTGCAGATGATACACACGACGAAGCACTCGACATGCCTGATTGTCTTGGATGGCGACGTAGGCATCCGGAGTAGAAACGGTTTTGTGAGACTGGTTAAGGATCACCTCTATCGGCTTCATCCACTTTGATGTTTGGGTAAAACCTTGCACAAAGAGTGGTGTAAAGTAGTCGTCTGTCGGCAGAAAGCTTTGCTTCTGCTGGCTAGACACCAAGGACTTGTCTGCTGATCGTTTGGTCTGCTTGCCAAATACGACTTCTGATGGCTTGTTTCTGGCCTTTTCCTTGTCTTTCTTCTTATTGGCAAATGTCTTTGGCCTCGAGGGCGGAGACTGGGGCGTGGAGGTGAGAGGTGTGAGTTGATTTGCCGGCATTTTGATAGTCACTTGAGTCTCTGGGCTTGTTTGTCCTAATATTTCGGCCACCGACTTCTGTCTTATTGTGCCAGAAGCTGTTCGGGTAACCGCTCGCTCTGGATCCTGCGGCGTCTGTGGAGCTTGGTTCGAAGCTTGAGAAGTCTGCGCCTCCGTTTGACTGGGCCCAACAGGTGCCTCTTGTACCTCGACGGAAGGTTTTCCTCCAGACTGGTCCACGGCCGGTTGATCCACATCCATCTTTTCAGGAGCCTGAGACTCTTGGCTGTCCGGAATTTCCTTGGTCGATTGGTCCGTAGGCGGCTCGGCGGTGGAAACAGCATTCTGTGCCGCGCTCGGTGTAGTGACCTTTGCTGTGGTGGACTCTGCAGTTTTCTGTTCAACCGGAGGCGGGGCGGGTACCACAGGTGTCGTGGGAGGCGACGCTTTCTTCGCGGGAGTTTCAACCGTAGGCGGCGTTGGGTTAGAGCTCATCGCCATGGACTCCTGTAAGAGCTGCGCTTCGGGCCCATCTGGTATTCTGCCGTTGAGCGAATCCTCATCAGGGGGAGCACCGCTTTCAGTTCCCTTGGCCTCCTCTGCCCTATCTGCCGCCGCTCGCTCATTAGTTGTCGCCTGCCGTTCCACATACTGAGGACCTTCATTTTCGGGGCTCGTATCAGTCGAGACGTCATGCACAGCGGGAGTCGCGGCCGTCTGCGTCGTTGAGCCTGGTGATGAAGCTCCGTCGGTTACCTTTGCTGAATCGGATGGGGGTTTGGAAGCCGCAGGGGCCGTATCCTCGGCCTTCTTCAAGTCTGGACGAGCAGGAAGCTGGGCGACGGGTGGCTTTGCAACGGATTGAGTGGGCGCAGCATTTGGCGCATCGCCCTTTCGTAGCTCGACTTTCTTCGAGATGCCATTCGGGTTTTCTCGCAAGGGCGTTGGGGCGGGCTTTTCGACAGCTGCAGCACCTGTGGTCTCGGTAGCATCTTGTCGCGATGCGTGCAAAGGATTCTTCGTGGGAACGACTACAGGTGATGGTGGCGGTGGACCTGAGGCAGCTAACGTGGGCGGCTTGGAAGCATCAGGTCGATTCGGCGTCGCCACAGCAGGCACAGGCGTCGGGGGCTTTGGTGGAAGTGAGGGCGGAAGGGTGAAGGTCGCAGGTGTTCGAGGCGAAGGTGTAGCGCCATTCGGATCGCTAGATGTAGCTGCAGCCGGCTTTGGCGACGGCGCAGGAACGCTCTTCGTTTGTGGTTCGGGGAGGGAAGCGTCTTGCTTTACGGGAGGAGCAGGCGCCGGCTCAGGTGCAAAGAGACCAGAGTTGTCGAGGGACTGTCTTAGGACATCGTAGCGCAGTTGAGGTCGAGCAGGAAGATTCGCTTCATTTAGCTTTCGTCCTCTGTAAGTCGTGTAAGCGGCGAGCAGCAACAACTAGAGCCATACGCGACCAAAAATATTCAAAAAAGCGCGAAAAGAACAGGACAACATACTGTGAGATATCGCACCCTTGCAGGAACTGGATTTCGGCTGCGGTGGCTGGCGGCGCGTCGGGATTCGCGAAGTCGTTTGTGGGAAGTGCATCGCCCTCGGTCGCGACAGCGAAGAGCTGACGGAGCTTCCGCTTCCTCGACGTTACAATTGAACTAAAAAATGTCAACACGCCGAAAACTATATCGTTGGAATCGCACGATTGAGCTCTATCCAGCGATGCAGCAACTGACCTAAATTCATCGCGTTTGGATCGCAAAAGCCTGGAGCGGTCGGCAGGCCCGACCTCAGTCATGTCATGAGCTGCCGCGACATCCGTTTTGGGCAAAAACGGGATGTCGACAATGATTTCCTCGCGTTGGGGAGATGAAATCGACGATCAAAAGTGATGAAAGTGGTGGTGGTGCGTGGTGGCAATTGATCGCGATTGAACTTCGTCGTGGATGGTCGACCAGAAAATTGTCGGTCTACGGGCGCCGCTGGACGGGTGGTGATTCTAGAAGTCACAGGCTGATGGGCAGTTGCTAGATTGGGGGGGTTGATAGACACCCCGGGAAAAATTATTTGTTATCGGAGAATCTGGACACTGTGCCAGGGAGGAGGCCATGGATCCGTCTTTAACAGAAAGCCGAGGGGAACGGGCGGTGCGATGATGAAAGACTGGGGGAGGCAAAAAGGAGATGGTACAGTGCGGTAATCTCTCATGCCAGATAGTCTCTCCAATGGGGACGCCTGGGCCGGACCCTCCAACTTTTTGCGGCGCACGCAGGCTACGCAGCACGCTTCCTTGCAGCAGTTTGATGGATGTGTCTGTCCATCGGGTCCGTCTCTTGGGGGGGGGACTTGGAGACCTGGGGACGACCTGGAGTGTTCAGTGCCTTTTTTTTTTTCTCTCTTTTCTAGCGCTGGGTGCACCGCGCCCGCCCTTTGCCCGTACGTACATCAAAAGATGAGGTCGTCTTTCATTGTGGGGACAGGTGTCTCTCTCACTCTCATAGAACCTAGGGTAAGTGGCTGCATAAGTGATAAAGCGCGTGTAAGTAATAAGTACCTTCGAGTCTTAAAAACTCCCCCAGGCTACCGCCCATTTTGCTGCAATACCTGGCAATATGCACTTTGGATTGCCGCTAGTTGAATTCAGAACCAGATGGAACATCGCTGAACAGGCCAAAGTGTGCTGCTAACAGTAAGTCTGCTCTGCCGCTGCTGGCTGGCGACATATTCCGCCTGATGAATCAGTCAGTGAGTGAGTGTGTGCATATTGTTGCCGCCATGCTGTTTTCGTCTAGACCAACCCAAATTCTCCCACGTTGTGTGTGGCCCGTCGGGCATCCAATCTCATCAGCATCCCTGCTGCAGTCACATTCCACCGGCGCAAGCGTCTTGCGCTTGCTGTTTGCTTGGATACTGAAAGTCCCAGAAACCCAGGATGCCCGGGCTTGGACTCTTGGAGCTTTATTTTTCTCTCTTCTGCCATCGCCTCTTACCTGGTAGCAGGCATGACGAGCCCACTCTTGATGTTTCCAGCCTCTAGGCCCCTTGCCTGCGAGGGTCGCTTCCAGCAATGCGATTTTCTTTGCTTGGAAGCTGTCGGGCTAGGTATCCGTAGGTAGTGGTGGAAGATTTCGTTTTTTCTGCCTTTGGAAGATCGTCATCGCTGTCGATCGCAGCACCAACAGGCCGCGAGAAGACGCCGGCGCAGTGTAAACGATGACAATCCTCATCTTCCACCCTCACTCGAGGACCAAAGAGATGAACGCTATCGCACCCGGCCCTCAATGAGACGAAATTTCCAGGTCCAGAATCACTTGATTCGATGAACGTCAGCGAGCAATACAAATTTTGGTTGACCATTGCCCGACAATCTTGAAGTTGGGGGACCAGGATAACACCTGGAGCATGATTCGGGGCCCATGGGCGCTTTGTGAGTGCTCGTCCCAAAAACTCCGAAGCCCAGCGCACACCCGAATTCAATAGTCTTGTCGCGGAGTCGCGGGGCAAGCTCTGCAAAAAGGTTCGTGAGTTTCGAGTCAGTCGCATACCTCCGAGTTGCCGCGCTGGAAGAGGAAAAGTTAGTGACTTGAACAGAAGGTTCTCTCATTCAGGAACGTACAATTTCATATCTGTTAGCCGTTCATGTGCCACAAAGTGCCCCTTATAAGACAATCAGCTTATACTCATCCTGCCCTCAATCGGACTGCTTGGCTCTGACTATCGCGCTCGTGCACTCCTCTAGTAAGACTTCTCACTCATATTCCCCGTCGATGAGTGACTTATTATGAGTTCGGTGCTGTTATAGGGCGCTGGTTTGAATTGGTGGTACTGAGAAAGTGTAAAAATGAGCAGGCAATCAAGCTATTTGAGAGGCTTCTCATTAAAAGCGATTGCCGTGAGTCTGGCAAATATTCCGGGTGAGAGGCTCATCTCATGGGCTGCCAAAGATTCGAATGTGAGAAGAGGGTGTAGTTGATCCGTTCCGGGCGGTTGAGTTTCCAGGATTGTGCGTCTGCCAAGACGTCGCATTCTCTCAGAAGAGAACTCTGAAAAGAGAAACGAAACGGGCGCCGGTAGCTTGTTTGAGCTTCCCCCGCAGGTATCGGAAACAACCCAGAGAGAGAAAAATCGAAGAGAAAGAGGTTTGATAATAATGAGCAAAGGGAATGTTATTTTTTCCTACGTTGAACATGGAGGCTGAGATCAAAACATGTGTGGGCGCACCAAACCAGCCAAACACACAGCCCGGAGAAAAGAAAACGCAGCGGGAAGTTTTGTGTGTGGTTTGCTTGATGCTATTCCGTCCCCCAGCGGCCCAATGACAGGCCCGGCTTTTTGGTCTCTTACACAACGTTAAATCCTGCAAAGTTATGCAAGAAAACAGCATCGGATTGGTCGGTGCCTATGAAATGCCGATTCAGGTGACATCACGATTCCCACTCCACGAGTTCGCCCTTGCCTTTCAACAGGGGTAGTGGGAAAAATTGTAGCTGGCCAATCGAAGGTTGCATTCCTCGTTCGACGTTGCGATTTATTGCTGTAACTCTGTCATCACCACTCGGCCAAACCAGGTCCCATTGTAGGCAGCGTTTCCGCGGCCCCGTCTGTTGTCAACCGAGTGCGGGAAGACTATTGTGCCTAGCTCTCACAGGTTGCCGTCCCTTTAGACCCATGCTAACCGTGCCGTACTCGTTTCCCAACTCGGAGCAACCCGTGCGACCGGACTGCCTCGGTGCAACCCCCTCCTCCCCGAGTTCGTGTCTCTCTTTAGGTGTCCCGTCGGGCTCTAACTCGCGCCGTCCTTCCGATCTTGAAAGGTCTACTCCGTACCTTAGTGTAGTCATACAACTACCCTCCGTGCCTTCTCACCGTCCAAGTAAACCTTGTGTGAACCAACTCAACCAACATCGCTCAAAGTGACATCCAAACACCACCGCCAATATGTCTTTTTTCGGTCTGGACCTCGCCCAGAAGGGCCTCTCCCTTTACACTGTCAGTGACGTATCGACAAGTAATGTAGCTAGACCACTAGGCTAAAACTCGCGTCCAGATCCCGGCCGCCTTCATGATGGCGATGCTGCCCAATGTTTACGCCGTCTCCGGAGCAGGAGCACACTACGACCTCTGCAACCCGAGAAAGCTCCAAACCAGTGTCGTGGCCGATGACAAGCTAGACAAGATTGTAAGAAACACAACCTTACCCTCCTTTCCAAGCATCTTAGCCCATGATCTCACACGAAGCTGCGAAATCTCTAGGCCAAGGCTCGCATTCTCCGCGCCAAAGCCGCATCGGAGAACGCCTTTGAGACGCTTGGTTTCTACTCAGCCGCCGTCGTCGCCGCCAACTTCGCCGGAGTGGACGCCGAGACCGTCAACGTCTTGACGCTGGGCTACATCGGCTCCAGGGCCCTGTACAACATCATCTACGTCCGCCTGCAGGACAACCGTAGCTTCGGCCCCGTGCGAAGCCTCGCCTGGCTTGCCAGCATCGCCATCACCGTTACGTTGTATGCCAAGGCAGCTACGCAGTTGGCGTCCTCATAAGCCCGGCTCTTCAATAACAATAGCTCTCAGCGGTACATAGTACAGCCTTTGCCGCGTCTAATCAAACTTATTTTTGAACCAATTCAAGCCGCTTCATCAGTGTGATACTTTTATGTTCACGTGCAATGAAATGTTCCTTGTACGAGCCTGTCGTTGATCAGTGTCAATGTTGCATGATGAAAAGCGGGAAGCAAACGACCTATGGCGAGGAGCACAAAGCTTGTTCTTCAACTTAACGAATTTCTTTCGGGACACACGATCCAGCGCCATCGTCGTACATGGTTAGAGACAGCAGTAAGCCACCTGTAAGAGTTACCGACATCGTGACAATGTCCATTCGGAAGGAAGATGAGTCATTTCACTCAAGCTCGTACGAGATTAATATGAATAGGAAACGTGGGTTGGGGTCACCTTACACCAATCCCATAGTGTAACGATTCTGGAAAGCCTCATCGTCAGCCCTAATATCTCAATACTAAGCTTCTGTGACCTCCAAAATGTTAGTCTTAACAGTGGCGGAAGTATCACAATTCTGTACCACAGCCTTCCGTCTCGTGAGATAATACTCTCACGGCCGAACAAGTCTCAGCATGGGCTCCTTCTGTTTTACATAAGGTGGATGCTCCTTCCATGGGAAAATAGTATGTCCAAGAAAGAAGAGCCAGGCAACTGCGAAGCTCGTTCAAGAGTCTGAAACTGCCTTGTTAATTCAGCTTCTTTCCACTTCAGACATTTACATCTGCAGTGTTCTTTCCTTCAAAAGTAGACAGCAAGAGATTAAAGACTTTAAACTGCGCTGACTTTGTCTCTTGAACCCTGTCTCACACACCACCACCATCACCACTCTCTTTTCCAAACATTCTGCGGCAGTCAACTCGCGATATCTCAACCTCACTCTTTTCGGGCATCACTTCATCATAGATCCAGTCTCAGCTTAGACAGACGAGCATAACTGTCATTCTCTTCACTTCGATCCTTATCGGTAAGTCTCTGGTAAACGTACAAAAGGCAGCTCTAGACTCAATGCTGACCAAGTATCTCTTCACCAAGTTCAAACCAGCCCCTTCACTATTCATAATGCGTGACTTTGTCATCTTCCTCACCGTTTCTGTGGTGCTCTTGCTGGCCGGCGCCGGTCTTGTAGCTGGCATTCACGACAACTACGTTGCCAGTCACGCTACTTCTACTAAGTCTATTGCCACACCCCAGACCGACTTCATAACTCTCACTGGGACCGCCTCCAGGGCCACTCATTCGAGATCCTTGTTGCCCCAAGGTACCCTCGTCATCTCCCCCATCAAGGCCAACATCAGAGCAGACTCCATCTCCGCGATTTCGGCGATCCCAACTACCACCATTAATTGCAACCACGAATGGTGTCAGGATAGCACCTCTCTTTGTGCCTATTGGGCTGATATCACTGGATGGGATCCTACTGAAGGCCCGATTCCGGGCGAGACTGTTACCTCCATCGGCAAGTGCAGCATCGTTCCTACCCAGGCTGGAAACCCAAAGCGCGATGCTGGCAATGAAATGCTCATCACCTCGGCGCCCGCGCCCTCGGTCGACTGCAAATACAAGTACTGCGACAGCAGAATCCAGTATTGTATGTACTGGGCTGGAGTCACTGGCTACGACCCTTCTCTAGGCCCCATTCCTGGCATGACACGTACCTCTCTCGGTGCCTGTCAGGCGCCCCCTACAGCTGTTGACAACGACACTACCGTGCCGACAACTATGGTGACGAAGACGTGCAAGAGTTCTAACTGAAGGCAAGAAGTCAACAGCGATGAACTTTACACGTTCTAAACTCCTCGGGTACACGAGACATTTAGTCTGGAAACACGGATGGGTGGATGTTTTGGTGGGGAAGTTACGAAGAAAATAAGTCTCAGATTGGTTTCCAAATAGAAGATTGCAGAGTAAAACAAGATATGCCGGGTTCTCAATCTTATATGCATGAACGTGAATGAGTGATATGTACTGAAGAATGGGTTAAGTATGTACGATGTTGCCGTCTTGCCTGACCTTCCCTTGAGCCTGCTTCTACTCCTACTCTCTAAATGAGTTGAGATTTCCCCTAGGCGGCTATTCCCATTCGTGTCAGTTTCACTCAACTCACAAGGAATCTCACCATAGACTCACCAGGTCCAGTGACAGAGGTCGTGATAGCAGTATCCTCAACATAGACGCCAGAGAAGTAGAAGTCCTCGTTGGTGTCGGCATAACCATCGCGGGGAAGCTCGAGAACGCCCAGATGCCAGTCCGCGCCGTTGGACGACGTCGAAGCAGAGATGGGAGCCACGACCTGCTGGAGAGGGGCATTGCCCTCTGAGTGCCAGAAACCGACGCTTCCGCTGGAGAAGTTCTACAACACGATGGTGTAAGTTTATGCTTCTACTCAGAACGTACCCCTTCACTCATAAAAAGCCAAGGAGGTTTGAGGACAAACTCACAATCTCATAGGCGACATTGTGCCACACATCCGGCTTCCACTCCGTCTTCCACAGACTCTTCTGCTGCACCATAAACTGCAGATTCGTGTTGTTCGTCGCCGACTCGCCACTAATCCACCCGCTCTTGAGCTCAGTGAAGTGGCTCTCGAAAAACGCAATCTGGTGCTCACGGAAGATGCTCGGCGCGTTGGTGTCCTTGCGGGAGATGCTGAAGTGGTACCACACCTTGCCCGAGTTGATGGCGGCCTTTGTCTGCGGGATGAGCTCAGTGCGCCGCATGTTCTGGCCGTTCCAGTAGGCCGTGCTGTCGAGCGTGATCTTCACGCCCTGCTTCGACGCCGTGTCGGCCGGGTTCTTGTAGGACGGCGAGAGGTTCACGTATTTGGTCACGTCGCCAGAGCCGTGGATGTAGTACTGGTAGGGTCCGACTTGGTTGGACCAGGACCACTTGTTGAGATCGGAAGAGGAGTTGAAGTCGTTGAAGCGGCCGTCCCAGAGGATTTTGGCGGAGGACAGGGGCAGGAGGGTGAGGAGGGCGGTGACCTTCATCTTGGGCGGTTGGACTTGGTTGAGGGGATTTGGAACGAGTGATGCTTGGCTGGCGAAACAAACAGTAATCCCAAAAGTCGCCGGACAGGCTGATGACTTTTATAACATTCACAGACCGAGCCCTATACGGCAACCCGGGACGGGGGAAATGTCACGACATCGAATATAGTAGCTCGGCGAACTATAGCAAACAAAGGGGGTAATGCTTCAGGCACGAACAGGTCACGAGTAATATAAACACACTCCGGACGGACCGTCTAGCCAGGGATGTTCAAGGGGGGAAGGGGGAAGCTTATTTATCTACGTCGCATTTGTTCGGACAGTACCCTCCGATCCCGTCGTATAAGCTGTAGACGTTGATTTGGGGAAATCTGAATGCACGGGAGATTTAGCCTGTATGGAGTTTAAAGCCTGCGCACCCCCCACACGGGCACGAACATGGGACAAAAAAGGGGATTACGTTATTCTGTGGTTAGGGCATGCTGGTTTGACGAGAAACCTTGATCGAGAAGCACTCTTTTGACGTGTCTACGGCCCATGCTGAAGTTCGGGCCAGCGGTTGCAGAAAGGCCCGATTGACATCGTCGTGGCGCAAAGGTCTGCGATTCTGATGACGGTGTAGGTGACCTTGAGATTCCTAAAGTGACCACCCATATCCAAAGCCACCATCAGCCAAGGAAAGCTTGTTCTGCATCAAGTACCGCTCGAGTCGTCTCTTGCCTCGTCGCCAAGTCTGGCGTTCGGAGGCAGGTGAGGAGGGTGGCGTCCCGAGACGCGCCGCAAGGGTGACATTCGGAAGAAGACCAAGACTGATACGTATTTGTCGCGCGTTCACACACGGCAAGAGCTGGGAGAGCTTTGGTGCTAGCTGGTTCTTCGAAAGCCACAGCCCCGGATGGGCGCTTGAGAGAGCTCCTGTGGGGCAGTCGCGGTTGAGCTCAGTGAAGCATTGATATCGCGTACTGTCTAGAGTGCAAACACCCTGACCAGTCATGGCTCGCTATCTCGTGACTCTGAAGGCGCTTCTTCTGCATGCTGAGGTAGGATCACGGATATGTATGGACGATGCGGCTCGGGTTGAACTTACGTCTCTCAATACGTGAAGCATTAGGGGGATCACGGAAACTTTCCGGATGTACACTCTCAAGCTTTCTCCTCCACATGTAAAATGATGATCACGCTGGCAAGATCACGAGCTTACTCTACCTTTGGCGTCTAGGTCAGAGTGGTTCTTAATCACAAGAGAACCCCGTCTCTACCGATGTCCTCCAGCCGGCAACTATGATACCCATTAGACCACCTTGTGTAAACGTGTAGACGCGAATATTAACTTCTTATAGGACTTATTCAAGGCACAACAGCGGCATATGGCACCGTAGATGAAGAAGAAAGAGCAGGAACCTCTGCGTCCTCTGCAGAAGAGATGCGTATAAAATTCGCTCTTCTAATTCTATCTGGTCTCTCTCTTTTTCTTCCTCTACAACCATCAGGTCGCTCGGTCTCTATACCAATCAGCTAGGTAAGCATACGTCACGGACTACCTCACACTTATAAACCAGTCACACTAACACTACCAACTGACTTCAGATACTTGGCCTTACATCGAATACATCAACAGCTAGGTCTCTGTACCCATCAGCTCTAGGTATGTATACATCACAGAATACTTCACCCTTGTAACCCAGGTACTAATGCGACTCTCTGATTCAAGATACTTCACATCGAACACAACATGGTCGCCCCCAAGGCCCTCCTCGCCGCCACGGGCACCCTCGCTCTGGCCAGTGCCTCCTCCTTCACCACCATCACCACCTCCACCACGGAGCCCGCCACCGCCGCCGCGACCATCACCGCCCCCGTCGCCCCGCCCATGCCGCACGGCTCCGGCCCGACAGAGGCCATGATCGCCCGCCGCAGGGCGTGGTGCAAGGAGTTCAACGCCGAGAAGCGCCGCGCACCGGGCTGGTACGAAAGCCCGGACGAATACGCCGGCGCCATCGGCTACTGCGTCCGCTTCTACCTCGACGAGTACAAGCTCAACCCGTCCAAGGCCGGCTGGATCGAGGAGTCCATGGACAGGACCCTCGGCCGCAAGAAATTCTTGGTCGCCGACTTTGAGAAGAAGGCCAGCCCTGCCCCGACCGCGACGCCCACGGCCAACGCTGCCGCCGCCGCCTCGAAGAAGGAAGATCCCGTCAGCGAGGACGAGGTCCGCGTCAACACTGCCAAGATGGCGGACATCCTCAAGGAGAGCCTCGGGCTCACCGACGAGCAGCTCGTGGAGCTGGGCTTCAAGCTCGGCGAGAGCGGCTTTGCTTTGGTGCATGCCCCTGAGGAGGACTCCGAGGCTTCCTCTTCCCTTCTTTGGCCCCCCAAGTTCGGTCGCCCTGCCCGCCCTCTCATGCCTCACCCCTTCCGCAAGCATCTCGGTAAGGAACCCACGGCTAAGGGGCCTGGGGCTACCCAACCCAAGGGCAAGGAGCCTGCGGTTGAGAAGCCCAAGGTCGAGCAGCCCAAGGTTGAGAAGCCCAAGGTTGAGTATCAGAAGCCCAAGGTAGAGGATGAGCAACCCGCGGCTAAGGAGCCTAAGGGAAAGGAGATCGCGGTTGAGCAACCCGCGGCCAAAGAGCCCAAGGGCAAGGAGCCCGCGGTCGAGCAGCCCGCGGCTAAGGAGCCCAAGGGAAAGGAGCCCGCGGGTGAGCAGCCCAAGGTCGAGCAACCCAAGGTCGAGCAACCGAAGGCCGACCAGCCCAAGGCCGACGAGCCCAAGGCCAAGGACACCAAGTCCAAGAAGTCCAAGGAGGAGGAGGAGATGCCTCACCACGACCACCCTCACGGCGGCCACCACGCCCACCCCCACCACGACGAGCACGACAAGGAGAAGGAAGAGGAGGAGAAGAAGAAGAAGGAGAAGGAGATGGAGATGGAGAAGCACCCCTATCACCCCGACCACCCCCACTTCGAGGAAGAGCCCGTGGAGGATCACCCGACGCCGAATCCGCCGAAAATTCTCCCTGATTACTTCTAAGTACGGGGCTGATGTTTTCTCTCGGGCCGCCTTCACAAGATGAAGAACTTCGCACGACAACCACTGTTCAGTTCAGTTTCTTTCGCAGGATGGGCCAAGAATGCCTCACTGAAGAGGCCTACGATTTCCTTTGTGTTTCTCATGTCTTTGGGGGGGAAAAGTTTGATTGAGTTGTTTTGTTCGTTACACTGGCTGAAGTCGTCGAGTCCCCCCCCCCCCAAAAAAAAAATAACTCGGAGGACGAACGTATCCCAACGATCCGGGCCGTTATGGGCACCTGATAGTAGTAGAAATGGCTTCAAGGCCATAGGCAGACACTTCTAGTACCTTTGCGTACATCATGTAGCCTTAGCAAATAGCCAGCCAGTTAATAGTAAAGTTTAATCAGCCTTCTAGCTTTGTGACGTACCTCTGTCAAGGTGGATGAGCAAGACCTCCACCGTCGGTGAACCTCCTTGTGTCGGTGTCTGTCCATGATTTTGGTTCAAACACACGTGGCTGAAGGAGTGAGGAAAGGTAGATATTTAAAGCTTTCTTGTGGTATTACTCTTACTATCAGAAGACGCAGAAGCCCTTGTCTAGTAAGGTTGTGTACCAAGGTCACTATTGCTGACCTCTTTCAATTCTTTCCCACACCCCACGTAGCCTTGCGTTTGAAGCTCATCTTCTTCTTCTCTCTCTTTCCAGTCGTATCCTAATAAAACACTTCCAATCGGAACTCCGGCCATTCCTACCCTGCCTCACGAGCAGAGTCTGAACTCCTAAATCTGTAAAATCGGCAAGAATCGCGTTCTGACCTCCTCTTGTTCCCTTCTGTCCATTTCACCGCTAGTGATAATGATATCCTTTCTTTTTTCTTCTACAACCCATGGACGAAATGGAAATGGACTGATCTCTTGTACAATACCGAGTGTGCTGATTGGTCAACGCCATCGTCCTTCGCTCAAGGTTGCCTTTAATTTTGCAAAGACGCCGCAGGTGCTGGGAATAATAACCAGTATTCAGACTTGCTGTCCGGACGCAATGCTGTGATGGGGTCGTCCTCGAATCGTCGACTCGGTGCCGATGCTAATGGCCCTAGGTGAACACGGCTGCACCTTCCAGAAAGCTCGGCTCGAGTCTTGACATCGCTTGGCGTAGATATCACTCAGAGCTCGACACCCGAATGTAATCGACCTAAGCCGTTCCAGGTGCTGTGTCTCTGCCTTCTCTAGCATCCACCTTTTGACGATGCTGCTTATTGCGCAAGTGGACCTCAAAGTTGCCTGCCGTCATTTCCGGCCCGGGCGTGTACAGCTTGCCGGGGCAGTCAAGACAGCGAATACGGGGGAGGAACATCCATCTGGCGCCTTCGGGAGGCTGTGACCCCGCTGGTACTGATATCGGCATCTCTGTGTCAGGGTTGATGGCTGAGTACTTCATCATGCCCTCAAAGTTATCAAAGGTATATGTTTGCTTCAGCTGCTGCAAACAGCTTTTTAGCCATTCTGGCGGCGGGGGCTATCGAGCATGTCAGTTTTGATCATAGTTGCAGTCCAAGGCATCCATGACTTACAGCAGGTGGTGGCGGTTGACCGGCAACAGGTGGCGGAGCAGGTTGTCGACCAATTTGGCCTTGCGGGAGAGGAGTGCCAAGTTGAGCGGGAAGAGCTTGGCCATTTGAGGCCGGCGTAGACGGCGGAGGCATGGAGGTTGCTGCAGCCGCGGCCGCGCTAGGTATGCGAGTGTGTGCGGGTGTTGACGGTGTCTGGGAGCCACTCGGGGTGAACCTTGCTCTTGGGTTCTGGAGAAGTCTCCTCAGCTTGTCCTTGCCAACCTTCAGTGTAACAATGAGCTGTGTAGGCTCCTCAGTCTCGTCGCGAGTATCGCGAAGGGAGCGGCCAAGGTTTCTGCGAGTCTCGTGATGATGAACGATGCTCGCTTCAGGCGTTTCGGAGCGGCCGAGATTCGTGATGCGTTGCTGAGCAGCACTCGCGGCGCCTCGAAGGCCTCTCGTTCTGGCCGTGCCGCCAAGCTGAGACACGCCTGGCGAGTCCGGTCCCGAGTCTTCACTATCGTCGGAATCGGAAACCTCGCCATCGCGTGCTCCTGGCCTCTTGCGGGTGGTGGGTGGCGCGCCGGCCACACGCTTGTACAGCGTGCTCTCTTCCATGTTAGGCGCAGAACCTGGAAGCACGGACGAGACGAGGAGCGTCCTGATTGTTCGCTGCCGTTCCTTGAGGTCTGGCAGTTGCGGGCCACCGCGTCGGTTGATAGATCGCTTCTGCCGTCTTTGTTCCCGAGAGAAGATGACTTCATTGCGTTCCAAGTCGGCGTCACTGAGCTCGTAAAGATACGGCGCATACTCCTTGGCCTGTTGCTGCGGTCTGAATACAGATGGCAGGGGAGACGGCAGGAAGGCGGCGATGAGATCAGGGTCTTCGACCGGTCTGCCGTCAAAGGGATGTCCGACGCTGTACAGACTCCGAGTGAAGAGTTGGCACTGCTCTCGAATGCAGTGAGCAATTGCGGTGGTGAACTCGCCGGACAGTGACATATCTCGAGTCATTGAGGCGGCAAACTCCTCTGGGGAGTTGAGTGGATTATTGATATCCCACTCGAACTGGTCGACCAAGGTCACGCCGCCAATTGTGACGTTGAGCTTGATCAATATTCTCATCTCGTCATTCTTGTAGGCAGAATATGGCAGCTCCGGGTCGAGCGCGTCCTCTTCGGAGAAGACTAGGGGGTAGAAGTCGTTGAGCTGGTCGCGCATTTGTAACGTGACCTGATCTAAGACGGGTTTGTGCTGTGCGTCCAGAGGGATGCCCAGATCCTCAACGAGATGCTGCGCAAAAAGTTCGCCTGGAATAACCCTGTCGTGGAGATTCCACGTGAAGGTGTCACGAAGCTTTATCTTTTCCCAGTCAACGTCTATACGTATCGGAACGAGCTCCTCGTGTTGCTCAGCCTGCTTCTTCAGCTCTCTCTTTTTCCATCTGAGCGGATGCGACTGGCGCTTCCCCGGCCGCGGCTTCTGGCTCGGGTAGATGACTTGGGCAGGAAAGGGCGCTCGCATGCGGGGATCGATGTCGGTGTAGCCGTTGCCGTAGCCACGATAGCCTTCGCCGTATAATTTGCTCGGAGGAAAATACAAGCGTTGGGTTTTGATGAGGTTGTAGTCATCAATCTTGTCTCTCGTCTGTTGCATGTCCTTCTCGAACCGTTCCTGGGCGTCTTTCATCGCGACAGAGTAGTGCCAGTCGCGTGTCACGTAGCGCTCGACCTGCAACTTATTGAAGGAATCCTTGTCTCGTACGGGGAGGGCCTTGGCGGCGGCGGATCGAGGAGTGCCATCGTGATCGTTGGCGGCGGATGCAGAGGTTGATGCCGAGGACGAGGCTGTCGCGCCAGCCGCGGTAGGCGTAGACGTGGATGGTGGCGCGGCCATGATGAAGAAATGTGCAGGGTCCCGAATCGCCGCAGCGATGCGACTGCCGAGACGTCGAGAGGAAGACGCGCGATCGGGCCTGGGTTCGTATTGGGCGCGTGTCGTGGCGGATGCCAATTGGCGATGGCTCCAAAGTTCACTTGGGGATGAGAGGTGGATTCTGCTACGTCTGTCGCAGCCTCTCTCTCCTGCGCAGCGTGTTGGTGTTGTACCGGGGAAGACTGGCACCAATGAGGCTAACGCATCCGATGTATCACGCTGGTATTTTGGCTGTGGACAGTTCCTCTTGAATGACAGGGAGACTTCTTAATGTTAGCGCAGTCTGACCAATGCGGCGCCCAGGGGAGTTCAGGTCAGCGCCAATCGCAACCTGGAAAATTTCCCAGTTCAGGTACCGAGCGAGCAAAGTATCTTACCGCATAAATCAGCCGTAGAGCTACATCTAACGTCCTCACTCGTGCTTCACGACTTGACCGCGTTCTTGAGCCTCAGCAGGCTGGAATCGCACCGCCGTAAGTACCTTAGCCACCAATGGCTTTGGCGTATCGCAGGACGCGCCTGACGACATGATGGTGTATGTGAGGGCTAAGATAGTCACTTCTTCTGACTTTACTTTCCATGCAAATAAGCCTAGCAGTTGGGAAGATGCAAATGATTTACGGGTCGACTTTTTTTTTTTTTTTTTGGTTGAGATGGACCTAGAATCTGGCACGTCCAGTTGCGCGATAAGCGCCATTCTCTTGATGGGAAATGCATCTTCTTGCGCTAGATCTAGCGGTGTGTGCCCAGAGTGCCTTAAGTTCCTAGACAGAAGCCAACGTGAGGCCATTCGCTCATCCAGAAAAGGAAAGAGGGCATGTCATCTGGTGTGCCTGTCGTGTCGGTACGGGCCGAGCTTTTGCCGGAAGCAGCTCCAAGCTCGGAGGGAGGCACAAGGTAAGGAAGGTTGCCCTGAATTCTCAGTTCTGTTGCGTGTTTGCTACTCAGACGTGTACATATAGATGCGTCCTTGGGTGTGCTGGTATCCGTAGAGCTCAGAGCTCGGCACAAGGTTCTAGTTGTTCACCATGAGACAGTCTTGAGCTTGAGACAGTCACTTAGGTACCTTGGCAGCTCATTCAAAGCACCTTATGGGCCAATTATCGTCATTGCCTCACACCTACAGTACAGCTCAATACAAGATTTGAGCAAGTGACCCGCCAAGCATAAAGCGGCACTAATTCACATGTTCACTCGAGGTTGCATAAAAACACCTCAGCCAAGGTGTCACGGTATTAATGAGAGAGAGAGACGTGGGCCGTGGCTGGCGCGACACGCGAACAATAGCACCCTATGCGCAAGGCGGTTTTAAGCGATGCGACGTATGCACAAAATTCTCCACCAGAGGTACTTGATGGCACTGGGTTTGCATAGCACACAGAGGTGGAAGGAGGGATCGAGGGAGCAACCTGCGTGCCTGCTTGACCTTGACCTGCCCGAGCACCCACAAACAGCAACGAGCCCCTCCTTTCCCCGCCCTGAAAATCGACGTATTTGTCGTCAAAATACTTACGCCCGACACACCAACTTTGCATTGCATCTCTTCTCACGTTCAGTCCTACGAGTTCTGGACCGGTGCATCGCTAACTCTGAGATATCCCTTTCATTTTCTAGTCAATTACCCCAGAAAATACCGCCATCATGTCGGAGGAGATCGGTTAGTACTTCCCTGTTCTTTTTCAAGCTCTATAGAGCATTGCGCGCAGTACCTGCCTTTTCTCGCACGTTTTTGCTGGTCCCCGTGCTGTTGCTGGTCCTGGTGCTGCGTTTGCGTCACATACCAAAACAGCCCACGCAGCTACCCCGCCACCACCCGAAATACACCACAAACGCACACCATGCTATCCAAAGCAGGTGCCCTTGCCTCAAGGGACTCGACGAGGCTCAACGGGCTCAACGAGACTCGAGGACGACTCGAGTTGCGCCTTCGCCATGGACTTGTAACAAACAACTAACGATGCCCCAGACTACACCCTCAACAACCCCGATACTCTCACCAAGTACAAGACCGCCGCTCAGATCTCTGAGAAGGTCTTGGCTGCGGTTGCCGAGCTCATCAAGCCTGGCGAGAAGATCGTCACCATCTGCGAGAAGGGTGACAAGCTCATCGAGGAGGAGCTCGCCAAGGTCTACCGTGGAAAGAAGGTCAACAAGGGTCTGTTTTCCTCCCTCCAGGTCCTATGCTGTGTACCTTACTCCTGAGCATCGCTGACCTCCTTCGCGCCTTGCAGGTTTCTCCCATCCTACCACCATCTCCCCGGCTTCCTTCGTGACCCCCTACACTCCCCTCACTACCGATGAGGCCGAGGCTGCCACTGAGATCAAGGAGGGCGAGCCCATCAAGATCCAGCTTGGTGCTCAGATTGACGGCTTCGGCTCCATTGTCTGCGACACCGTCGTCGCCGGTGAGATCACTGGCCGCACCGCCGACCTGGTTCTCGCCAACTACTACGCCAATGAGCTCCTTCTCCGCTTGATGCTCCCGCCCGGTCTGCTCGCTTCCGGCACCGACGAGGAGAAGGCCAAGGCCGCTGCTGCCAAGGCTCCCACCCAGGCCAAGATCACCAGCCTGCTCGAGAAGGTCGTCAAGTCCTACGACTGCAACCTGGTCGAGAGCACCACCTCATGGCTCTTTGAGCGCAACGAGATCGAGGGCAAGAAGAAGATCGTCCTTGCACCCGCCGAGGGCACCAAGGGCGATGGCACTCCCGAGATCGGCGAGGTCTGGGGTGTCGAGATGGGCGTGAGCTTGGGCGCTGGCAAGGTCAAGACCTTGGAGTCAAGAACTACTTTGCACCGTCGCACCACCACCAACTACGGCCTCAAGCGCCCTACTTCCCGCAAGATCCTCTCCGAGGTCCAGAAGAAGTTCGGAACCTTCCCCTTCAGCTTGCGCCAGCTCGATGACGAGCGCGATGCCAAGTCTGGTGTCGTTGAGTGCGTGCGTGGCAATGTCTTCCGTGCCTACGAGGTTGTTGGCGACAAGGACAACTCCCCCGTCGCCCGCTATCTGTCGACGATTGGTAAGAGTTCTCACACGTACAACAAAGTGCGGCCCAGAGTGCTAACATGTCGACAGCCATCACCAAGAACGGTATCACCAAGGTCGGTGCGCCGCCCGCTCTCGACCTTGAGAAGGTCAAGTCGGACAAGAAGATTGAGGACGAGGAGATTCTCAAGATTCTTGAGCAGCCCCTGTCCAGAAATACCGGAAAGAGCAAGAAGAACAAGAAGAAGAAGAAGCCGGCCAAGAAGGCTGCTGCTGCGGGCGGCGAGGAGGAGGAGGAGAGCGATGAGGAGTAAGGCGATCTCAGTGTAGGAAATGGCGATGACTGTCAATGAGACGAGCAAGGGGGCGGCCCGATTTTACGCCCACAATTTTCGTCGTGAAAGTCAAATGCGTGATTGTACTCCTTGGGGCAGTCGATGGATAGGGCCATTGCCAGGATGAGGCCGGAAACAGGAACGCTCGCTCTGCTTATCCGACGCCAAAAAAGTTGGCTGGCTGGCTGCACGACTGCTTTTTGGAATGCCGAGGAGAGAGCTGCTTGTTCGCTCATCTGAAGCCTCAGCCAGCCGCCACTGCAGCCCGGGTCGTCACCTCAGTCGTCCCACCAGGAGGCACAGCAGGGAAAAGCAGCAAGCAGCGTAGCTAGGATCCAACAGAAGGTGTTGGACTGAATGGAAGCCCAACAAAGACAATGAATGTCATCCATCTACCTGCACGCGCTATGCATCCTTGAGCATGCCTGACCTTCTTCCCCTGAGTGCGACTCAACTTGTGAGTCTAGTGTTGGTTGACCGACCACTACAGAGTGGGATAGCAACGTGACGATATGGATGTCTGAGAGAGCAGAATGAGAGCGAGACGACAGGGGTATTGATGTCTCGATGGGACGATGAGACGGAGCACGCCAGGTCCCAGGAGACGCCGTCGGCCGGGGGAAGAAGGTGAGCCACGAGGATGGGTGGAACAAAATTGTCCAATTCCAGAGGTCTCCGGTTTCCCGTCCTCGCCGGGGCCCTGGTCGTCGTCGATACGGCAGAACTTAGAAGACCCGCCAGATACCCAGATGGCGGGTGCCCAGCCCCTGGAGATGGAAGGTAAATGGAAGCGGACCTAGAAGCCCGAGACCCTTGATCTTGGCTTGTAAAGACGACTGTTCAGGACCAAGAAGTAGGCCTCGCTCTCTCTTCTCTACCTTATCTTGCCCCGGATGATTTCATCGTTATCTACCTAAAGTCAGTATATCAAAGGTGAAAGAGGCAAAGTCTGCCTTAGGTGAGGGAAGGTAAATATAAAGAGGCACAGGAGAGGGCTGGAAAAAGTTGAATGGCTGACGCCAACGTGCGGCAAAGTATGTCCATGTCACAGGGCCAATAGTGAGCTTGGCCGATGTTGTGGCACTGAACCACGGGTTCGCAACAGCGCTGTGACCTGCACCCGCCCCCCCTGCCCACCACCTGTACTCGCCTTGAGTGCCTTGAAAACCGCCGTGTACCCGCCTAAGGTAGACGCCCGTGGCCGCTCAAAGGCACCCGAGGCAGGGAAGGAGTAAGTAAGGCATGTAGCTTTGTAGCTCTCCATTAGCCCCCCAGTCCGTTGTCTCCGAAAATCCTCGAGGTCCATCCCGCAGCTTCACACCCTTTCTTCTCCCATCCCTCCTTTTCCTAAAGTCATTCGCGTCGCAAGTGGAGGGAACGCGCCCGAACCGTATCGCTGAATGCCTTCAAAGACGAGAGAAGTAATCATACCCAGATTTGCCCTACAGAGACACGAAACTAACGCGATCCTAGGCGTCCGACTCGGAGCGTTTGCCCGTCTGGTCCAAGGCAAGGAGGTCAGGGGCCCTAGAGAGCCCAGTTGCCATGATGCCCACGAGTACGAGAGCCACGCGGTCGCGCTTTTCCAGCCCGCATCAGCACGCCAATGGAGGAGGAGGATCGGAACCTGTCAAGAAGAGCAATGGAGCAAGCGAGGCCTCGAGGACCTTCATGCAGAAATGGTTGGAGCCTACGGTGCAGAGCAAGCCGAGCTTCGAGGAGGCTGGATTGATGCGATACGGCGTCACCGAGAACATGGCGCCCCTGGGGACGCTGCCAAAGGGACCACAGGCCAAAAAGCCGGGTCAGGAAGTTGCGAATCCCGTCAGGAAGATTATCCTCAAGTCGAGCTCAGCAAGTTCTGCTGTCGCAGCTGCAGCAAAGGCGGCGGCGGCAGCAGCGGCAGCAGCAGCTGATGAGGCAGATGCATCTTCCATGGCAAAGCGCTCAGAGACACCGACACCCCCTCCGCGCCTGCCTACTCCTCCAGCCAACGCTCAAAAGGCGACCAGAAAATCTCTTCCCGCACGTGGTCTGGACGACGACGACGAAGACGACGACTACACGCCCAAGGCAGCCGCAGGAAAGAGCCAGGGCCGTCGTACATCTGCCTCCATCTCACGCAAGAGTGTGTCGCGCTCATCGGTAGGACGCCGTGCATCAGCTTCACTTCATCAAATGGCTCCCTCGAGCGACGCCGTGCAGCCTTCAGAATCGACGCCCGAGAACAAGGACGTCGTCGAGAGGGCTGTGGAGGTCGCAATCGACGAGGCGCTCCGGCATTACCGCTATCCCACTGCGTGGGCACTCCGGACCCTCTACGACGAAAATTCTTCCAACCCGGTCTTCCTCTCCATGTTTGAGGACGTTTACCACCAAACAGCCGACGAAGACACCCTCGACGAATTTTCTCGCCTTATCGAGGAGAAGAAGCGAGAAGGCAAGAAGGACAATCAGGCTTGCTACTTTTTTGTGCCCCCTTCCACCAACTCGCGCTTCACCCCCACAAGCCAAAGCCAGCACCCTACGGCAATCTTCTCTCCCTCGACCTCTCAAAATCGGACGAAGAAGACGACGATATGCCTCAAGTTACCCCAACTAAAAAGGCTAGCAAGGGCAGAGAGATTCCGGAATCACCCATGGGCATGAGCATCGACGACGAAGAAGACGACGACACTACTTTACTGGCGGCGGAAACCACCATCGCGACCATGACCCCGTCACGCAAGCGTGCCCGGAGAGATTCTGCAAGCAGCGACTCGTCCTTGTCAGAGCTCTCTGCATCGCCGTCCCTGCCGCCCGACTCGCCGTCGCCCAGCTCTCCGCCCGTTTCCGCGGCTGTTCAAGGCGACAGCCACAGTCGCCGTCACAGTGCCACGACGGCTGCCACGGCTGCTGGGGCCGACCCCGAGACCACCTTGACCAGCGCACCACCGCCAGCCGATCCACAGCCAATGAAGAGACGCGGCAGATCCCTTGCTGCTAAGACGAGCGTGTCTGACGCATCCAACCCAAACTCACCCACCCTCCCCCCAAACGTATCTCAAGCTGCAGGGGCTAGCAACATGCCTGGTCGACTTTCTTCGCCCATTTTCCCCAACCTTTCGACGACAGCAGCACCCTCAAAGGCGAATGGCAAGAAGAACGCCAACAAGGACAAGACTCCCCGTGTGCTGCCCAGCAACGATGCAACCACCCTGCGTAGGAGAGATGCACGCGATAGCACAGTTAGCCAGACGCCCCAGCCTGAGAGCCACATTCGCGGTTCCGACATGAGAAGCAGGGCTGGATCTATGGCCGCATCTTCGCCAGCAGTGAATCTGCGCAAGTCGGCAAGGACACCAGCGCCGAGCTCGAACCTGCCTGCGAATCTGACCCTGAGCACGAGAACGACGAGATCAGCAAAGAGGACGCACGACGAGATCGACAATACGAGCTCGCCGACTGCGCCGTCAATTCTCGGAGAGGTGACGCCCGCCACGAGTTCTAGAGCTGCGACCCCGACGAATCTTCGCCCTACGAAGAAGCAACGGACTGGCTTGCGTATCAAGACTTCGTAAGTTGCATTTTCCCCCTTTGCATCATAAAATTTGAGCCTCGCTGTGGCAAAGCGGATGACTTGACATGATGAGACGAGGGCGCCAGTGATGGGTGGCGCGAGCCTGGCAGCGTCGCACCGCAGCATCCTCGTCTCTGCCATCGTCTGTCCGTGAAATTTCACCCATGTTTCGCAAAATCAAGCTGGACACAGACTGACGCATTCTTACAGACCCGTGAAGAAGAAGGGAGGCACTGCGGCTGGACTACCTCGTGCCAGCGGTGAGGGCGGTGCAGTTGCCGCCAACGGCGGTGGCCCAATCAACCAGGTAAGCTACCAGTCCAATAACGAATCCTGCAGCAGCACGGAGCTGCGGTCATTTTCATCGATGCCGCACCCTCATTGTTGCGTACGAGGAGCGAGAAGATGATGGGGCCGGGCAAAGGTCGGCGAATGGTGAGGGCATGGTTTTCGGGGGCCAAGGCGCACATCCCGAGGCATACTGAGTTTAGCGGCCAGTCCCGACCTCCCATTTTTACCGGCCAGCCTGCACCCACACTCCTACTCATTTCCCGTAAATTGCCTCAACGACCACACTGCTGACACATCTCATCAGGATGAGAATGACGACTACTGCTCAGCATGCAGCGGTGTTGGAGAGCTGGTCTGCTGCGAGAACTGCTCCAGGTCGTTCCATTTCGAGTGTGTTGACCTTGGGCTGGGCGACACTCTCCCCGAGGAATGGTTTTGCAACGTCTGTTTCAGCAATAGATACCCCACCAGGGTGCCCGAACACAAGGGTCCCTTTGGCGGTTTGATGAACACTCTGGAGAAGACTAATCCTCGAGCCTACAAGCTGCCGCAAGGCGTGCGTGTGTACTTTGAGGGCGTCAAGGTCGGCCCTGAAGGCGAGTACGAGGATGTGGTAGTGCCCGCTAAGCCAAAGTAAGTCACAATTCCTGTCCTCACTGTCTCGCCGTCTCCCAGACATCTCATCCCGACTCTCCCTGGGAATCACAACGACTGACAATTGCAACAGGAAGAAGGGCTATGAAGAAGCCCCAGACTTCTTCAAGGTTCAGGAAGCTGACGGATCTGCTGTGCTATGCCACAATTGTCAACATCCGACCGCCGATAATCGAGCCATCATCCCCTGCAGCCTCTGCGGGCTGCACTGGCATCTGGATTGCCTCGATCCTCCCCTGGCAATCCCGCCTGTGGTGCGAACATGGCGTTGCCCGGCGCATGCAGACGACCTGTTGGCTACGTTGCCAGAGGAGCTTGCTCCAGCTCACCGCTTCCGGAAGATCAAAGGCGCGCCAGTCATCATTCCTGCCTTCAGTCGCGGCATGAAAAACAATGGCTTTATTGAGATTGACGATGATGACGAAGAATCCGAGGATGAGAATTCGGGTTGGAGCGACGTCAAGACCTTTGGTCGCGTCTACAGACTGTCTTCCAAGGGCGTTGTCCTCGACTTCATCTCTCAGTCAGTTCTCTTGGATCATTAATCGGTTGTTTTCAAATTCTAACAGATCTGCAGGCTTCGGAAGGATGGCGCTGGTCACATCAAGGGCTCGCCGACTTCAAACATCATCCAGGCGCTGCCAGTCAGCGAGCCCATGAGTGCTCGTTCACGTGTTGAGCAGCAAGCAGTGCTGAACTTGGTCGAATTGGCCTCCACTCAGCCCGCTACCAAGCTTGACGAGCTCACAGAGGCATTGCTAGTAAGTCAAGAACTGTGTGGAATTGCAAGCACTTGTGACTGACACGTTCATACAGACAAACGCCGAGCCAGCTATGCTCTCGCTCATGGCTCGTGGCAGTGTAAACAACTTTGCAAGCGGAGATCTAAATACTACCGACAAGCAGAGTCTCCGCGCCATGTTAGCTCAGATGGAAGCCATGACTGGTCGCATCAGAGGCTTGCTTGGAGACAAGCAAAAAGACAGCGGTGTTTCTGGTACGGGCATCGAGGCCGATCAAACAGCGATCGACAGTGACCATACCAACGGCACTGTTGGCACCGGAGACGACGCAGCCTCGATCAAAAACGAGTCCGTCGAGCCCCCTGCCGACCTTCCTACGCCAGCGACTACGACCCAAGATAACCCGGAGCCGATCAACAGCCTGGGCGAGAAGTCTTCGCAGGAGGTCCCCAACGACGCGAACGAAGATGATGTGCCCGACATGGATATCGACTAGGCTGGCGTGAACAGCGACTTCAACTATATCTTTAACTGATTATTCTTATCTTACCGAACACAACACACAAGGGTGGTGTTGAGACGCTAATTGGCAGTGGATGGTTCGCCTCGTCCTAAAACTAGGAGATCAGCAGCCAACACAACCAATTACGGATATAGCCCATTTCTTACTCTTTTCTTATTTGATTCCCCAAGACACGACTCCCACACGGATCTGGAGTTTGGAGGGCTCAAAACAAAGCAGCGAGCAAGCGCAAAGAAACACCGGCGAAGGAAGACCGGTCATAGAATCGAAGAGTACCGAGACAGGTACGACAGAAAGCCACACAGGATTCGAGCGACCCGACAAAGCAAGCTCGCATAGCCGTGGCTTTGTGGCCATGGAGAGTGCAAACTGAATGAGCAGAAGCACGCGGATTGTGCTTATGGCGAGAGGGGCAGGGGCATCTGGCTATCTGCCCATGCTGCCACCTTGCGGAGGGAATCGTGTGAAGGCCAGCTTTTGTATACCTCACGTTCCTATTCGCACCCCCTCCAATTTTCTTTTTCCCCTACTGGAACTCCCTCACCCCCTGCCTCAATCTTGTATCATAGGCCATTACCTCTTCTCGTAATATCTCTCTTTTGGACCAGCAGGCAGGGCTGGGCTGGCTAGAGGACCAGGGAAACAGAGCACTTCTTTTTTTCTTTCAGGGAGGCAAGAGCGAGAAATCCAATTTGGGAAACGGGATTGATGTGACCTGAAGCCGGCCGGTTTTGAGTACCTGGGGGATCTGGGCAAGGTTGAAGGAGAAAGCGGGGAAACGGGGCAAACCCCGGAGACGAAGGGAGGCAGCGACGAGGCCAGTAGATAGAATGCTACACCGCATGATCTATATAACCTACCATTGCTGTTCCCTCCAATGCTGCAATGTCCATTTGTGAAGAAAACCTGTTACATTGCGCTCTCCTCTTGTTGCAAGGAAATTTACATCAACGTCTCTTCTGTCGATGGCAGACGGGGCAGTGAGAAGCGTGAAACCCACGAAACTCGGCTATAACTGACAACGCTCGCCTGTTACAATCTCGGCCTTTCTCGAGAGTCCTTTCCACTCATACGCACATTGACGTTCTCCGAGGCAAATGCCACTCTCATTTAACATTAACCTCCGTAGCAAAAACAATCCACTCGATAGGAGAAACCACCTTCGTCCTCGTCCCCCCCCCCCTCTCTCCCCATCTTTCCTCCTACATCACTCCAATGCCTCAAATAGCCAGTCCGGTTACCTCTCAGTAGTCGCATCTCTGAGAGATGGAGCAGCAGCAGATGGTTTCAAGCACAAGATTCTCACTCGATGTGACCAACACATGGACGTCCCATCTTGCAAGGAAACACTTAGGGCCCAAGGAATCTCGTGTGGGTAATATCAACTAGCTTTTACGACAATGCTTGACTAACAATACCTTATACTCATGCTATCTAATATGAAGAAAAAGAAAAAAAAAACACAAAAAAATGGAAGAAACCCCCAGCAGCCCAAGGTGGAAAATTGGCGTGGCTATGAAGAGTTCCCGCCTAGCGAACGAACCCGTCAGGTCCCGGCAAACACGGACGAATGCTTTGACTGCGGAAACATACTCTCGACTCCATAGCTCTCTCGTAATGAAAAGCGGCAAATGCGATTTTTTAGGGGGTTGCGTCTTGACTGCCATGCGAAGGTGGGGCTTCAGGACAACATCCGGCTACCCTCTCTCGGTTTTTCTATATACCACGCCACAAGCAAAGTGAGGGTAGCAATAGTAAAGCTTGTAAAAAAGACTTCCCCAGCGGAAAAAAAGAAAGGACAGGAAGAGTGAAGTGGCAAGTGGGGGGCTTCTGGAGCCCCAAGTGAAACGAAAATAAAAGACCCTCGTCGTTGCTGCGACCACATTTCCGGAGGGGCAGCTTCATGTTGTTGCCCTGTCTATCATCGAGACATGGCCTCCTCCACATCTGGAGTGGCTTGCGCATTTTCCTGACACGTTGGGCGGCGTGTACCCCCTTGCAAACATTCTTACATGACGATCCAGATCAACCAAACTCCTGTGCCGATCCCATACCAAGCCATCCCTTACCAAACGAAAAAAGAGCGGCATGAGCCAGTCAGACCCTCTCTGACTAGCAATTCGTCTGTACAAGTGGCGTGTGAATCATCGCTTTTCAACTCGTCAGTCACGTCGCGCTCTGGCTTGGTGGAGAGGGGTTGCGAATGGGGGATCGCTTACTCGGCCACGTCTTCCGTTGACTTGCTCCTGCTGCATGTACGCCATGTTCTGCATACCACCCATATTGCCATAGCCACCGTATCCCGACATTCCCATGTTCATACCAAATCCAGGAGGTGCGTACGGTGCCTGACCGGGAGGCATCTGAGGAAGCTGAGTCGGCGGCTGAATGGGGCTTCCGTTGGCCAGGTTCTGGCTGCGGTACTGGTCAATGGACGGGCTCGGGCTGCTGTACCCTCCAAAGCCTGCCTGCATCGGCGGGAAGAAGTTGTTGATGGGGGGCGTCGCACGGTTGAGCATGCTCTGCTGGTACTGGAGCTGCTGCAGATTCGCAGGCGTCGGCATGGGAGAGTTGGACTGGTTGTACATGGGGTTTTGAACACCATAGGGAGGGAAGGGGGCCATGCTCGCGTCGGCAGGCTCACTGCGTTGACCGCCGAATCCCAACTCGTAGTTGGAAGGGTTGACGGGTTGGTTCAACGAGTTATAGTACTGCTGCTTGCTCATGTGAGCAGCCTGCTGCTGCTGCTGGTTGTTCATGTTGGCCTGGCGGGAGGCCGGTCGCTGCCGCTGCTCATTGTTGTTGTTGTTATTGCCAGAGTTGCCATGGCCGTGATCGCGGCCACCGCCACTGTTGCGAGTCGACAGGCCAACCTCGTCCATTAGACGCTTGTAGCCTTGACCAGGCTGGGCCTTGATGCGGACCAACACGTTCTTGACGTTCTCAACCACCTGGCTGCGAATGCTCTCGTCAAAGAAAGGTGTGGTGAGAACCTTGAAGATCAGGGTGGCGCCGCAGGCATGGTCACTCAGGATCGCCTCGAGAATTTGGTCGTTAGGTGTGAAGAACAAAGCCTTCAAGATGGTGTCTCGCGCCTCAGGCTCAGCCTTTTGGTTGATAACCTTGAGCACGGTGAGATAAGCAACCTTGTGAGTGCACAAGTGGACGAGGCAGGGCACAAGCTGGGGGGACAGAACAGTCCTGCGCTGAGGGAAAGTGCAGGTATCCAAGAACCAGGTCAACAAGAGGGCGCCGTTGGCGTTGGTGGCGAGCTGGACGCTGTGCAATGCGATCGCGGCAGCCAGCATTCGCTGCTGCTCCTTGGTGGAGTGGTGGCTCTCCAAGCAGGCACGCATAGCTCGGGCACCGTAGCGGCCCTGAGAAACCTCCCACATGCGGCTGAGCATGGTCTCAAAGATGAAGTCATTGAAAGGAGCACCGAACTTGAGGCAGCCTTGAAGAACGTAGTTGCCGTACTGGTCCAGGAACAGAGGGATGGTGTAAGGTCTGAGGTGCTCGACAATCAAACTCATCTGATGCGGGGTCTTGCAAACGTCGATAATCTTCTGGGCAGCCCAGGTGCCATTCTTGTGTACGCCAATCTCCGCCATGTGAGGAGCAATCTCCGCCAGCATGGCGTCCCGAAGATCGTCGGAGCAGTGCTCGAAGAGCTTCTGTACAACAGTGTTGCCAAGGTAGTCGGACGCTAGCTCGGCAATCTCTGGTAGCATGTCGAGAGCGGTTGTCTCGATCTCGGCCTGGGAGAGGCTCTGGTTGTCGATTCTCTTTCTGATATCTCTGAGTCTCGGGGCATCGTGAACTCGCGTGTGGGCCGGTTCCCGGATAGGGGGAATCTCGTCGATGAAGTTGGTGAACTGGATCGACGACTGAAGACTGCGGGAGATCTTGGCAGCATCCTCCTCAGTGGCCTGGAACTGCTTAACGATGCGCATGATGTCACTCGTCATTTCTGACAGAGGAGGCACAACGGGAGCAGCATTGGCTGACTGGGCCGATGCGTTTGCGCTCTCGCCAGCGGTACCAGTGGCCGCATTCTGCGCATTGTCCTGGTTCTTCGCGAACGGGTCGGGGCTGGGCGAGGGGAAGACACCGTCATGGCCGGGCGTGTTCGAGGCAGAAGGTGGCTTGGCAAAGTTGATGCGAATGGGTCCTGCTCCAGGGAAGATTTCTTTTCCGTTCATGCTGGCCTTCGCAGTGATGGCGCTCTCCATCCGCTCGAAGTTCACAAAACCGCAGTTCTTGTGCGTGAGAACACGAGCGGACAGGATGTGGCCGTATGCCTTAAACATCTCTGTCAAAGTCGATGTAGTAGTTGAAGTCGGGATGCTGCCAAGCCAGAGGGCGCTGGTAGGACCCTCGAGACCCTGGTCCTCGGCATTGAGCAGTCCCGCATTGCGACTGCTCGACCTTCCCAGGTTCATAGCAGCCACAGCTTGCGGGAGGTCGTCAAACTCCTTCTCGTCCGGCAGACGGATCTCCGCAGGAGGGACGGCATTCCCCATGCCGTTGCCGGACATGTAGGTTCGCATGAGGCGAGAGCCAGGGGTATCGAGGACGCCGGCTGTTCGGGCACGAGGGCGCGTTGCTTGGTTGGCAAACGCCTGTACGGCCAGGTTGTGGTTGTGGATCGCAGCGTTCGTAGCTGCGAGCTGATCCTGGAGGTGGGCGACATACTGGCTCTCGAGGGTCATATCTTCGAACTCATCGTCCTCCTCGTCTGCGTACTTGTCCTTGTTGTTAACCGAGTACGAGCGGAAACGATTAGCCTTAGTAAAGTCGTTGAAGCTCGGAATGTACGGTGTTGCCAACTGGGCGCGGGGAGGCTGCGGCGTCTCAGCAAGTCCCAAGTAGTCCAGCGTCCTCATATGGACATCGCTTTCTCCACCCCCCTCTCTGGAAATCTGGGATTGCGTAGGCGAGCTCGGCCCATTGGTCGAGCCGATGCTCGCAAT